GATGGAGTTTTGTATGGCTTCCGCAGAGTGTCAATCCCAACGACTTCCACTGTATAATTTGTTAAATGAGTGAGTCCTTTGATTTCCGTTGTTAATTGATCCCCATTGACAACCTGATGGAATGCTACGCTGTTATTTCTTCTGTTTAAGAAGACAACGTACTGACCAACTTTACGGTTGAGAAGGCTGGTAAGGTTAGCCCACCGAATCAATATGCTTGAAAAGGTGGTTTTCACCACTGTTAAATTCCAGCCATAAAGCACTTGAGCTAAATATACGAAATAATTAACCAAATTAATAATCAAACAAATTGTCACCTAAAGCTCCTTGCAAACAGACGCAACGTTGTTGTCCAACAACTTCCAACATTGTTGAATGTTACATGGTGCGTCCGTTTGCAAACCCTGTGTTGCATGTTGTTGCGTGTTAATGGCAGTTGTTGCGCAAAGTTTGAAATCGGTCAAAAGTTGTACGTAGCTTAAGAGGTGGTAATTATTCACAACGAGAAAAAGAGGTAGAAAAATGCTTAAAAGTCAAAGTCTACTTGGCCAAATAAGCATCAAATTGAACTAAAGGGAAACTACTGCCTACGGGAAACTAGCGTCAAACCATATTTTAAGAAATAAGAAGGTAAAACAGACAGTATATATGATGAAGTTGCTGTAATCTTTCCTCAAAATATGTATAGTTACCGCATGAGAAACTCTCTTTTTTCCTGCTTTTAAGTGATGTATTATGTCAGGACCCTTAACAAAAGTGAGAATTGACCGACTGACCCTGTCATTTCGAAGAGAAGTTGGCTCCGCATACTATAAGGGCTTTAAAGGCAATGAAGCCAAAGTAAGTGGAATTGATGAGGTTTTGACATGCAATTGATCGATTTTGGGGTTTACCTGCATGAAGGCTTTTCCCCAGTATCAGGTAATCAGCCTTGATAGCACTTCTCAATCGACGCAAGTAGAAACGTGCTGTTATGTTGTTCGAGTAAAAGAATGGAACCTCTACCAATGATCCACGAACAGAGTGGGAGGAGCAGCCGCTTTGGTGAAATTTCAGAGCCTCATTGCCGTCAAAAATCTTGAAATATTCACGGTTGTAATATCTACGTGACAGAATATGTATCAGGTCGTTAACAGAATTTATTCCTGCTCATTTCCTTTACAAGATATGAAAGTGTGTTGTTCACGGACAAGCACTCGAAAGAGATAATCTATGAACTTTCTTGTCCCGTTTTACTGCTCTTCTTACTTATCTCTTAGTCCAATTCAGCACATATTAAAAGCAACTCAAACTGAATAACAACAGTAAAGGCTGTACTACTAGCCAAACTTATAAGGTCTTGCAATTAACCAAGGTTTTTAAACCGCTTAAAAGTGTTTCCTTCCGTCCAGAATTCAATCATGATTAATATGGTCCCCAACACTGGCATTGAGTCGCATCGGGTTTAGTAAAGTAACAATAAAAATGAATACCTGCAGTAACCGAAGTTGATCTCCTGGATTAGAAAGAGACCAATTGCCTGAGGGATCTCGGCATTCCCGATTGACCAGAAGCAGTATAGACTTGTGTAATCGGAATGTGTCACACTTATAGCACCATATGATTGATTGACCGCTACCCTGCAAGCTGTTAAGACTCGACGATTAGGAAACAAAATACCAATAGTGAGATAATGTTGAAGACTATTCCTAAGAGTTCGCGCTTTTAGCGCTGGATAAAAGCACTGGGGATACACTTTTACAAGGTTACTCTCTCATCTAAAGTGAATAATATTTCACAACCACTAGAGAGGAGAACAATTGTATGTATTGCTTATTTTCAAATTTCAGGGAACTTAATTAATTGATCCCATATCAATATGTCAATGTATGTCAATGTATTCACATGAAAATTTAAAAACGAGAGTGGACTACTTTGGTTAGGTCGCCATAACGATTATTAATTTTATAGTTTTGGTTATTGTGTGTACGAATTATTATTTATGTGTATGCAAGGATCTTCTTGAATATTTTATTGGACGGCAAGTAAACAAAGACGTTTTTTACTTTTAACCGACACCAACGTCAAAATTTAGTATCATTTTTCGTTAAATAACGCTCTGTTATATCGCCTTCGATCTTGAACTTTATCCCGACTGACATTAATTTGTAGAAGGAATGCCAAAATTGTTGAGAGCATGCCATGTCTAAACATTTCAACATTTTCGCAACGGACACGAATAGACAAAATCCCAAAAAGGTCCAGTACGGACCTTTATCACCTACATGTAAGATACAATACAGAGCTCTATTAATTCTGCATGGTTTATAGCAGAATTGATCATTTTATGATTCATTATCGCTGCTCAAATGTATATATAACAGCAGATGGTTACCGAGTAGGGAAAAAGGCCTTTGTTTGAAGTGTGTACACTCTTTGGGAACCCAAAGGGGCGGGAGATCATGTGAAGTTTTGGGGGAGTACCAATGTCTTTCTTTTTCGTTTACTTTGCATTCTTTTTTTTTTTTTTTTCTTACACTCTCTTTTGATGTATGCAGCCACTGTTGCGGAATAAAACGTTATCTCAACATCAAAATTATCAGTTTTCATAATATTTTACCTGTTGTAACATAGTAACGAGAAGAACGCGGCCCTTCGCCCTTGGCTGTAAACGCCGCCACAGAAACATCATATCGCTGAGCCGGTCCTAGCCCTGTTATCAACGCTAAAGTCACATTAGGACTGCTGGTGACCACACCACTTGTATTAAATGGATATGGATAATAGGCGCTCCTTCTGAAGTAAACTCTATAGCCCAACAATCGGCCATTGTGAAACTGCTGAGGAAGAGTATTCCAAGTAACCTTGAACTGCGTTTCTCGTACTTCAGAGAACGTTATATTTCTAGGAGCACGACCAGGAGCTAGAGAGAAATAAAGCATGTAAAGTTGTTACACAGGGGGACATTTGCACTTTTAATCTTCTCATTAGAAGTTTTCAGCCGTTGGCACCCTAAAAATGTACTAAATGATATTAGTATATACACATTCAGTGATCTTGGTAATTCAAGCAATCTGATTGGTTATATATCTCGGACAATGACGTTACATTCACCGCGCTAGACGGTGAATATATAGCAGAACAAAATCGCTGTCGTGAACTGGGTGTTTTCCCAAAGTTTCATAGTAAAGCCTTTTTGAAAATACACGAATATCCAAGTGCTGATGACTTTGAAGGCAAGAAAAGACTTCATGGTGTTTAAACAGCGTGTTTTATTGTGAAGTGGTTTACCGTAGCTGACTTTTTGTACGCTCGAAGCCATGTTTACCACTACAGAGGAAAACGATGTCGCTTTGTCACTGTTTTCTTTTCGCAAGACCAATTTTGCTTATAAATAGAAGTTAATTTATGGAGAAAAGAGGAAGGCAAATATTTTCGAAAATTGTACGTGCCAGGAAGTTAACAAAGCAAAGAACTTTGGAGATAAACAACGCTCACCTTGACCGTAGCCGCTGTTGAAGGCATTTGCAAGAAGAGAGGAAGAAAACTTTCTCATTCACAGTAAGTTGACAGAAACAAATAAAGCTCTACTTTTCTTCTCAGAATTGGGTAGTAATTTAAATTTTCGGCGTTTTCTTTTAAACCATTGATGCTAAAGCTTACAAAACTCTACACAAAAAGATTAAAACTATCATTTGCCATGTTTGAAGATACTGTAAGGAGCTAAATTTTGCGCATCCACTGTTTACGGCTTCGTGTTCACGCATGAATTCACCCGTCAATCAAACTAATCGTTTTTTAATGGTTTCCTATCTGATTCTGTTGAGATCACTTCGTGTGAATATACTAAAACAATTATTCACCTCAGGCTCAGTTAATATTGTTGAATAATAATAATGATAATAATAATGACGACGACGATGATGATGATGATGATAGCAATAATAAAAGCAATAATAATTATAAAAGTAAGTTATATTTATCATAAAATTATCCCAGAATCCTTTGAGGCAATTTTTTTAAAAGCTTTATAGCTTTGACAATTTTATACGTAGAAGAATGTCAGACCACAACAAGATAACACTTGCCATAAAATATCTTCCCATATCACATACAAGGTGATGACATCATCTGTCACGTGACTATTTCCGGATTTTTTTATTGTTGCTGTGACAAGATTTCATTATCGAGTTAATTTTTGAGGTTTTGGTAGTGCGAGGCATTTAAAAACAACCAGTTTACGTCAGGCATTTAAAATTTAAGGGGGTAATGAACATGAGCGAATAAGTCGGGAGACTAGGCCGATGGCTGTAGAGAATTGACGTTTCATCACACGGCAGAGAAAATTTGCAGGAAAGTAATGTTCTACCTGATAATTTTTCTCTTTACCAAAAGAGGGACATGACGTCACCAGTCACGTGATCAGAGCGTTTTGAATATTTTAGTTTCTTTCTGAAGTACATTTTCGCCATATATTGGCAAGTTTTTGTTGTTTTTCTCTACAAATCTTTACACTGTATTACCCCTGAGTAATTATTATTCCATTTTCGAACTGGAAGCAAGCGAAAACTGAGCCAGAAATTTAAAAGTTGCATAAATTGACCGATATTGCAAATTAAAATCGAAAAGAAGACCTTCTTTTTAGACTTTTGTAAAAATATTTTTCAACTTAACTGTTTGTTTGCCGAAATGAATGTTCAACGTCTTTTAATCAAGGAGAACTTTAAAAATTAAAAGGCGGCCATATTGTTTTTCATCATTCCAGGGAGAGAAGTCATGTAGCAGCTCTTCTAATCCTAAAAGCCAAATGGTTTTCTACCCTTACTTAAAGCAATGGAAATAATGATGGACAATATTGTGTTGATGTTTTCCCCGATCGACGAAAGGACACCTTACAAGTAGGGAGAGTATCGTACGATCATACGGTTCAGTCGGTAGCCGCGCGATTGATATTCAATAAATTTCTTAAACGTTCCCCGGCAAGTACCAAGCCTGAAAAAGTGTTAATAGGCTTATTACGTCTAGCTTCGGTCGGTGAAAGTTTTAATTCGACACGGAAATTAAAAAAAAAACGAAAAGTCATCTTTGAAAACTGTCAATCAAGTCTGTAAGAGTTTACCGCGATGGTCCAGTGGACAGAGGCGTGAACGTGTAATTGTTACTGACCCAGAGGGTCCGGGTTCAAATCCCCTTGCAGTCAATTTTTCGTAACGTTATTTTTTTCTTTTTTTCGAAATCTCTATTTTACTCTCTTTTTTACCTGTGTGGTGTATATAGCTAGTAACATAATGTGGTAAATTGAACACAAAGTTTGCAGGAACATAAAAACTGTAGTATGTATCATAGCGTATCTACCGGTATTTTAGTAATAATGGACACTGTTATCATTACCCAGCTCAATCGTAGCATTTCACATGTGCCAAATATAATGCATTAATTATAGAAACCTTTATCCATATTGGATAAAAAAATTCCCTACAGACTGGGAATATTTACAACGAACGGAGTTAAATTCGGCATTATCATATCCAACATCTGAATCAACTACCGTTTTTAATTACTTTCATCGACTAAAATAGGTGTTCGGCACTCATACGAAATTCCCCGTTTGAAAGGGGCCTAACATGACATACGTTTTAGCTTAATGGTTTACAGGCTGTTATTAAGTTGTTGTATTCTTTTCAGTAAGAGCAATTCTTATCTCTGTTGTAAATCCATTTTATTAATCGGTTTGTGCCGCGACTTAAGAATCAGCTGTAACAGATTATTTTTGCTATGTTTTTAGCCATTATTTCGCCTAGTTCCAGCTGTAGTTCTTACTCTTGAAACGAGTGAAGTGTCTGCCATTTTAGTTTTTACAACAAAAACAACTCAATCTAGTCCCCAGGTGTTCTCTATTAATGGTGCATTAACTTGCAGACGGCTGCATTTTTGACGTCATTTCCTAGTTAAACACAGAATTCTTCCAAATTTGGTCATCAGTAACTGGTTATGGTGAATTATGCGTGTGGATTTAGCGAATCAGAATTGGGGAAAATATTTTGGATGAATAATAAATAAAGTCAACTTATACGACGAAGTCCCAGTTCGAAGTTGTCCGCTATAGTGAGAAATGATTCCACTTGCTCTTATTTATATGGATGGATAAAAATTGATCGCTATTTTTGATATACAAATCATGTCCATGGCCAGTGACATTCCCTTCGTTCCGATACGAGTTTGTCTTACACCAGGGCGAGGGAAGTCGTTTTGGCTAAGTTTCGGGCCATCGGTGTTGATACGTCGGGGATAGGTTTGCACTCGCTTAGGATAGGGGGCGCTTCGGCTGCGCTTAATAGCGGAGTTCCCGATCACGTCATTAAAAACCACGGCAGGTGGAAATCTGACTCTGCCAAGGATTTATATTGCCGTGAAAATCTCCGACGTCAGCTTCTTGCTACTTCGCGCATAGGTCTCTGAGTTACGCGCGCTCGCTCTCGTTCTTTGTTTTTCTCGACACAACTGGTCGTGTCCTTCCTATTTCAACGTGTTGTTGCCTTTCTGCTGATTAGAACTTAAACGTTTTCTCTGCGGCGGAACGCAGTGACATAGCAGAGAAATGTGTTTATGTTCAGAATTTGCATTTATAGCCGCAGTTTGATCCTCTAGGGATTTTACGTCACATCTCGGTATTTAAGCCTAGTCGCCTCTCGCGTTAGTCACTCGACACAGCCAGTTTTACCGCTCGCATCTTGCCGAGCTTAATTTTTCTAGTATGCTGTTTACGTTTAGTCTCGTAGTTTACAGTGATGTAATTCGTTTTTCTCCGCCTCTACTTTATTTCTTGTACGTTAGCTTTTTCTCGTTCCCGATAAACACAACTGGTCGTGTCCTTCCTATTTCAACGTGTTGTTGCCTTTCTGCTGATTAGAACTTAAACGTTTTCTCTGCGGCGGAACGCAGTGACATAGCAGAGAATTATCTTTAAGCATGGTGATTTCCTGCTGCCGTTCTTATACAAGACATATTTAAATTTAATGAATATTTAAGGAAAACCACACAAGCAGACCCTAAACAAAGCGATCAAATGGTAAAATCAAGATTTTTAGAACAGCAGTGACATTTCTGGTCAATGGCAACGCTAAGTACTACTGTTGATTTCTGGATTATTTCCATTTTGAACCCCTTTCTGGTAATCTGACTTCTCCTCTTCTATTTTAAATATCGTCATGACATTTTCAATTGTCAACGAAAATTAAAGAAGGCATCATCACATGTGATGCTTGACCTAATTAGTCACATGATTTGTCACATGACAGCCTTGGTTGTCATAACAACAGCAGTTTTTAAGGGCGGCACTTCCTTGGCACCAATATCTGAAAAAAAAATTAATGAACAAATGCTGAAAATTATTAATACGAGCTCACTATGTTCACTACAATCTACTGGATTGTCAAAGAACTGTTCAGCAAATAGGTTTGTTTGCTCACAAGTATTAAAAAGAGTAAAGAGATTGTCAGGAAAGAAGAGCTTGAAATCATCTACAGGCCCAAAATCAGCAGTTTCCACCATAACACTGGTTCTTTTAAGAAACGGGGAATCCAGCTGTGATCTAAATCGTTATAGAAAGCCGCGTCTTCCTAAACAAGTTGTCTTTGCCTTGGAGGAGAACAAGCAGGAGACGCTGCCATGGCGTCTTCAGTTTCCACATTCATAGATTCATCCGAAACCTCACCATGGTCATGAGAACTCAATGACTCGCTCTCTTTTAAAACACCATCGCTCTATTCACATTCACCATCATCGACGTCGGAGTCAGAACAGCTTCCAAAACGTCATCTAGTCACACTCTTAGGCATGATATGCCTTGACGCCGTTTTTAAAGCTCCCAGAGTGTAAACAATACATTACAGTAGCTTTCTCGCCAATTAAGGCACTATAGCCGTTCAAAAGAACTAAACAAGATTATTTTCTTCAATAGACAAGCTTTCCGTGCTGCTATATCGCAGAATATAATTTATTCAGCTAATGCGACGGCATATTTATCACGGGGTGAATTTTACAATTACACGTACAAACTAACAACTCAGGAATGTGCTTATTCAATTGCCTCTAATTAAAAACACAGCCAAAAAGATAAAATAAATGCTTACCTTTGCCTTGAATCGCAATTTTATAAATGTGACTTCTTCCAACGCCTTTCTTTACGACTGTACCTGTTAAAATGAACTTCGAAATTTAAAGAAAACCTTGACATGATGATGCGACGGAAAATCAACATGGCGTCGATGTCACGTTTCTTCTTTCCTCGGACTGAAATACGAACCTCCACAAAAATTTCGCCTCAGCCGTTAGTTGACCATCAATAAATGTCAGAACTAGTCACGCTAACTGCATCTACGGGTATGCCGGCAATTCCATTGAATATATCCCCATACAGACTGCATTTCTAAAAAGTACTCTGGGATTGTTTACAATGTCGAGAAGACTCGACATTCGCACTGGGAAACTCGAAAACGCGTGTCGAGAATGCTCGACATCCGCACCGAAAGAGTTTTAAAAGTGCATTTCACCCCAAATTTGTTTTGAATAAAATAATAATAATAATAATAATAACAATGATGATAATAATAATAATAATAATAATAATAATAATAATAAACTTATAATAAACGATGCCTCAGATTGTTTTTGATTTCAAATAGATCTGAATTTTTTACTGACTTTTAAATATGTTAGATTAATATCTTAGGCCGTGACATTTTGGACCTGGGGCGAGCGACGTATTTTGAGGCATTGTTCTCCTTAAAATGCCCAGTGCGCATGTCAGACTTCCACGTCTTGTGGGATTGGGTCTCTTAAAAAGTGAATCCACGTTGTTCAAATATTCATCATTCTTTTTCAATGTCACATTTCGTTCAATTTGTCAAATGTTGGTGATTTTTTGTGGAGCTATTTTCCGAAGGAGTGTATCCAGGTTTAAAAAGAATTAGGGAATCTTTGTCTTGTGTTTACGTCCTCTACCGAGGTGAAATTAGGAAGTTTCACGTCGTGGTCGTGCAACGACGGCAAAGAAATGTACAAAAAAGCGTGATGCATTTGCAAAACTATCGTTTAAATAATCAAAACCTGTTTTTTTGTTTCTTTGCCGTTCTCGTTGCTCTCGTCGTTGCTTAGTCTTAGTTGAACCATCATCTTCCCGGCTAAATAAGATGTCTCACTCTTAAAGCATATCATGTGTCGATTCTGACGAATTGGGATGAAATTTTATTCTTGGGTTTGTACCGAATATCCAGTAAAACGTCCAAGAAAAAGTTAAAAATTATGACCAAACGTAATTCGTGAGCGAGCGGAGAAGCTGAATATGACGATGTTGCAATTCCTTACGGGGACGAGCCTTTGGGCCAGACAACAGTTTTTCCAATAGTACAATAGGAAGAGGGAGAGAGCGATAGAACAGGAGTCAAGGCAGAAGCTACAACAAAGCGAGGCGGAGCTGAGAACAATGCCTCAAAATACGTCATCGTCTCACTCCACCAAGGGGACTATCTACCCGGCCTTGTGGTTAAAAGCTGCTCAAATAGACAAATTTCGTACTCTGTTAACCGAGCGTAAAGTTCGCTAGTTTTATCCGATTCACGCAAATTGTACCTCGTTTTAAAGCTGAAAGCTCGTAGAATTCCTCCAAATTTTATCAATTTTGAGGTGATATCTATTTTAAAAGACCTTATCTCCAACAAGAGATTGATTTCGAAGATTAATAGGCCATTTCAGAGATCCGAAAACTCTCACTATCAAAACGAGGCTTAGTGCAAAATCTTTGTTGCGAAAAGGAGTTTTATTTTAAATAAAATAAAAAATCGTTTTATAACAATGGCTTTGCATTTGGCCTCGTTTTGAAACAGAAGCTTAAGGCAACTCGTGGAAGGCCTTTTGTAAATGGGTTAGAAACTCGGCTTTGACAGGCATGGGTAACAATAATATATTTTTTTGAATATACCTGATTCCTCAGTCCACTCTGTGGCCTCTGAACTCTTGTAAGCTTTTCCGTTATCATTTACACCAAGAACATTGAGTCGATATTCCATATATGGCGACAGCCCATAGAGGACGTTAGATGTGGCATTGCCTTGCAGGATATTTCCATTCACGATGCTTCCATCGCTACTTTTTATGACAGTTATATAATGAAGAACACTTTGGCTCAGCAATGCTGATAGATTATTCCAAGAAACTCTCATGCTGGTTGCTGTTTTGTTACCAAGAGACAAGCTCCAACTGGACACTAGCTGAGCTAAAAAGGAAGCAGGAAAGTTTAAAATTGACGACCATAATAAAAGAGATTACTATGACGCGATGGTGGAACTGGAGAACACAAAATTTCAAAATCATACGCAACGCTCCGATTGAGAAAGAATGGCTTACTGCATCTCCTTTAAAACCACGTACATAACCGTTTTAATCAACCTTTGTGTAAACCATGCAATATGTTTAAAATATGTCAGCCGAGTTTAGAATTGATATATTAATACAAACAAATCATTGGGGTGCTTTCTAGGGTGTTTATTAGACGTTTCAAAGTTTGAGCTATGCACTCTGCACTGGTCTTACTTAGCAGGTGGACCCACGATGTTTTACCACTATTATTACTATTATTATTATTATTATTATTATTATTATTATTATTATTATATTATTATTACTATTAACTTTTTACAATCACTATTGACGTCGTTGTCAGTTAAGAAAATATGTATAAATGAGGATAAATCTGGAAAATTGGCATGGTAACCAATGGAAAAAAAATAGTTCTAGGACTACAATGATTTTTTTTTTACAGGAATAGACATGAGCAAGGAAAAAGATTCGTTAGTTAATATTTTCCAGAGGTTTCAGCAGCCTGCAGTGCAGGCGTTTTCTTTGTGCCCGCAATTTGCTCGCGAAAGCGCCATGTTGAATCTTCCCGAAGAGAGGAGGAGATGGGGCGAGTCAAGGGGAGCGGGGAGGGGGCGGGGAGAGAGAAGAGAAAACGCCTGCCCGAAAACACTGTGAAAATAAGAAACACCCCCTAATTACACGCGCGTGACCGCTCCTCCGGAAATGAGTAGCCGACAATAACAAAACAACCAAACAGTCGTTCCAGTCCAAAGATTCGCATTGTCTTTAGAAAAACACGCTGGAGTTTATCATTGTTTTTATCTTGACTGAGTAACAATTCAATTCTCCACAGCTGATGAAGCTTCAGTTTCAGCTGCAATTCATTCTTCTCAATTCATCTCTGTAAATCGCTATCCGTGGGAGTTCAAAACATCCTGCAAAAAATTTTAAAAACTAACGAGCTGGGCCCAGCGTGACACAACATTGCAGGAAAACATCACATTCTCGGACTAGAAAGAAAATAGCTTAGTTAGTCAGATCCTTAGGCACTTTAGACAAAAATAAAGAACCAAACAGCCTTATTTAGCGACAAAAAGAGCTTTACGCTTCAAAGGAGGTCAAAGAAAACGCTCTTGCGTCAGAGGGCAAATCATGAAGACCAGAAATTCAAAAACCACAGAAAATCAATAAGCGTGTCATGACCTCTCAGTGTGAAACAAGCCTGCTAACATCACCTTTGCTCAGTCAAAACATGGAACCCTCTAGAGCATAATCTACTCGCCAGAAAAAAAGCCATTGAAACAAGCAGCACTTTGGCATGAGGTAAAAGTGGTGTAGGTTTTAGTACTACGAGCACATCTTGTCCTGATGACCAATGTAGAAATAGCTTTGACTTTCTCATTGCGTAATACACGCGACATTCCCAGCCGCTCCAATTCCAAAAGACTGACGGAAACGGAATAAACAATATAGACTTACAGTTAATTGACAGGCCTCAATCTACTTCCCTACGCCGCACCAATCAGGAGCTCTGTTTGCCAGCGTACGGAGCTTCCCAAAAGAACAATGATATCGGGCAGGCGTATTTTTTTTCTCCCCTCCCCCTCCCCTCCTTTCCTTCTTTCGCCCTCGCACCTACCGTAAGGGATACTATTTCTACTCTGCCCAATCTTCCACTGTCATAAATCAAATATGGCGGCTACAACAATATTACGAACACGAACGAAAGGTTTCGCCCACCCAAAATACGCCTGCACTGCAGGCTAAGGTTTCAGTGGAATGACCGACACAAAGCGTTGTAAGCCACCAAGATTTGTACTTTTTTGGGTGACACTGTTATGTTAGGTAGTTGTTTTAGATACGAAATACAAAAGCTCGCAATATCAACGTTGCGTAAACTATATAAGGATGAAACTAACCCAATTGCAATCCATGCGGTAGAATTCCGAATTGAAGCCTGGCTCTACTGTAACCATAACTGTATATTTGAACGGTGATATTTTTATGGTTTCCAAAAGAAACTTCCGCGAAAGATTTTTGACGAGTCGCTGAGTATCCATTGCGAGCAAGCACAGTTGTACCGTTCCCATCGATTATTTTTATGTTGTCACTGCAAAATAAAGGGGGAAAAAGGAAGTCTTGTCATTGATAGTGGTAACCTAGCCATCCTTAACCATAGTTTATTCCCTGAAACAAACAGTTATTCTTCTCTTCCTTCCTTCCTTCTTTACTTCCCCCCCCTCCCTCACTTCTTCCTCCCTTCTTGCCTCATCCTTTCCTCACTCCTTCCATTTTTTCCTTATCTTCTTCCATAATAACATCTTTCTTCCTCCCATTTATATAATGTACCTTTTCCCCGTACATACGGCTATCAAACCCGCGACCATGCAATCAACTACTATCCCTTACAAGCTTTAAATTTTGCAGAACAACTCTTAGGTTTCCAAAAAAAAACAAAAAAGAAACGAACTAATCTTAGTTATTTATTTCCCTATGGAAGACATTGTTTCGTTTGACTCACTGGAAAGATGGCAGGTAGAGATCTTGTATTGACATAAGTGCAACTGCTTGTTCGATTCCTGCATTTCCAATTGACCAGGTGCACAGCAGAGAACCATAATAATCTTTTGGGCCAAACTGTAGCTGGCCAAATGATTGATTTATATATCCTCTGCAGCCTATGAAATAACCAGTGCTAAGAAGTTAAATAGGTATTAGAAATATTGGTCGGACTGTTTGGCCTAAAAGGAAAAGTCTGCAGGGTTCTTTTCACCGCGTTACCGTCATTTTCTTCCTCTCCGGAACTGCGTTAATTTAACATCATTATCTCTATCTCCTTCGGAAAGAAGGAGATAGAGACATTTAGCATCAGGGTTTTCATAGAACGCCGCAAACCGCAAAATGTCACGTGACCACGGGCTTGCGGTCATGTTTGCAGTTTGCAGTTCACGTTTGAACCGCAGGAAGGGCTTCCAGCGGTAAGTGATTTACGGCAAGGTTTTTTGCCACTAAAAATTGTACAGCCTCGCGTTTAAAGGCACGAACTAGCTTTTTATATCCGTTTACGATATGTTTGTTGGATTATTGATCTCAAAATATTGAATTATTCCTGTGTCTTGGGCGATAAAAGTGATGCACTTCGACTTGATGAAAAAGAACGTGGTGACACTAAACAATGAACGCGTCACGGTTCAAATTGATTTCATATTGTTCCTTTCTGCCGTACTAAGATAAGAAAGTTTTCTGTTCCAATCCAGAGTTTTTTTTTTTTTCGATCTTGTTACTAATCCATAACTTAACTCATTCTCTGTTTAATTCCTATTTCTTACAAAAAATTATCACTCCACGAATTTTATTTTATTTTAGTTTTTAATATTTCTTTGTGACAGGGGAGCCCAGGCTTCATAAGCCTCCTGGTTTCTTCTGGGCTCCCTTGCAACCGTACAATTCCTATATGTATACTTGTATTGTATGATATTTCGGTTAAATAAGAATGAACTCAACTCGAAGCCTTGCTAAAATTTGAAATCTCAGCTACGTGAAACTGCAAACGCGTAACTGCAAACTGCCAATTGCGGTTTGCGGTTTTCCATGAAAAGCCCGATGTTAAAGGTCTCTACTAGCTTTTGGAGACGCAAAAAGTCCATTTGACGATAACTTTATCAAAAATCGGGCTGGATATATAAAAATATATTTTAAAAAAAGTAAGCACATAAGGCTGTCGCATCCTTTTTCGAAGATTTAAAAGAAAAGCATTATAAAAGCCACAATAATTCCAAGCATTAAATTTGCGTTTTCCTTGTCTACGTTTTAATTGCATCCCAGGGACTCTCTCGCCCGTTTTTGAAAACTTTGGCCAGTTTTCCCCCGACCCAACTGACCGCCCCTAGGTCTCCGAGGATAGAGATAGGGGTAATAGGCTAATGACAACGGCTGACGATTGTAAACAGAAGAACACATGAAAAAATAAAACAAAAACAAATAGACAGAAAAAAAAAAAAAAAACAATACATAAACGGGACAAAACGAGCTTCCCGTTGTGGAGAACTGATAGTGGCTGTAAGAACAGATTCCACCTCATTCTGGAGTTAATATAGAATTAACAGTGGCCTTTTTTCCTTTGCTTTGAATTAACGATTAGGAATGATTAAATTTTTGCCGTAAAAAATGTGAAATTAAATGGGACTATCACAGACATTTAATAATTTATATACGTAGTCAATGTTTTTGCTGTTAACATTTTGCACATTGCTATTACATTTCTGAGATGAAACATTTATCATTTATTCATAGATAATTTGATGGCGATTTGATCAATCCTGCGATTAAATAATATCGAGTTGCCCAAAATACTCACTCTAAAAGAAAAGACATAGCAATCAGTATCACCTACAAACAAATGCATTACCTGTGGTTACTGAATACCAGGACGAGCGTCGTCCTTCGCCCTTAGAAGTAAAGGCTGTCACTGCTATTTGATAACGTGTAGCCTGTTTCAGGTCTCTCAGTATCACCATAGTAACATTTGCACTTCTAGTGTAAACACTCTTTGCATGATACATGTATGAGTAACGTTTGTATTCCCTATAGTAGACTTTGTATCGAAGGATACGTCCATTGGCGTATTGCTCGGAGAGTGGATTCCACTGTACTTTCACCTCAACAAACTGTAACGTTGAAAGTCGGATATATGACGGTGCCCTGCTAGGAACTAAGAAAACAGAAAATGTATATTATTTTGCAATCTATTATCTTAATATCTGATTTTTTTTCGTTTGTTTTGTTTGTTTGTTTGTTTGTCTTTTTTTTTTTAAGCACAACTAAGTTAGGTTACATAGTGTACGTACGGTGATAGTAACAAGAATATTAAGTTTTTTGGGCACCCTTAAGGGTTCAATCGCATATTGCGATTCCTAAGCCTTTGTCAGAGCAGATCAAGAAATAGGTTATTTTACAGTTATAGATAGAAGCGAGCCTGGAGTTGACCTTTCCTTTTGTAAATCGTGTTGTTCTGATGCTTACTATTATTTTTCATGTTCAAGGAGAATTTCCCAGAAAGCAGAGCACATTCACCGAAGGATAGGGTACTAAGCCCACAACTGTAAAAATGGTCCATCGTCGCGGCTTTAATTTATGCTACATCAATAGTAAGAACAGGACAATCACCACCACCACAACAAAAATGTTGATTAAAAAACGTTGACTCCGCGGAAAAAAAAAACTTTCCGACGGGAAATATTGAACCAAAACCGTTCGGTTCGGATTATTAGGAAGCTTAAGCAACAACGACGGCGACGGCAACGCGGGCGGCAAAAAGGCAATAGGTTTGATTAGCAAAACAACAACTTTGCACGTGCATCACGTCTTTTTGTTCATTTCTTTGCCGTCGTTGCACGACTACGACGTGAAACTGCTTAATTTCACGTTTTGTGGAGGACGTGAACACAAGACAACGACCCTCTTTCTTTTCCTGAACTTTAATACAGCCCTTTAGAATTCAACTCAAGAAAAATTCGCCAACATCTGATGAATAGCACGAGATGGAATAAGGGCGATAAAGTTTTAAGCAGCGCGAACACACTTTTTATTTGATGTTTTCGAAGCCGTCGCCGCGGTTGTTGCTTAAGCTCCCTATCGACCAGTGGGAGTGGTGTGGAGTTTCTATCTCACAGCCATTCTTCACATACTAAGAGTTTGTTTGCATACACCTGTGATGCACGAGACATACCCCCCCCCCCCCAAAAAAAAAACAACAACAACAACAACAAAAAACAACAACAACAACAACAAAACAAAACAAAACAAAAAAAACATCTTTAAGTATGTTGCACGTACCCCCTTCTTCTGTCCATGCTGTGATCTCTGTGCTGTTGTAGGCATTTCCACTGTAATTAACACCAGCAACAGATAACCGATACTCCCTATACCCTGTCAGTCCAGATACCACATGGGAAATAGTATTTCCTGGTACGATGTATGCGTTTAGACCTCTACCATATGAGTCTTTGACGAATATAAAGTAATGACTTGTTTGTTGACCAACGAGTGTTTGCAGGTTTTGCCAGGAGAATCTTATGCTTGTTGTAGAAGTATTGTCAATGGATACCCTCCAGTTACTCAGTGGAAATGCTGAAAACAAACAAAAAAGGGCACATTAAAGCATGTGACTTACTATATTTGGCAGTTTCAAATGCCCAAATTTGCTCTGAGTCAATAGTACATGAGGCCGAAGGTCAAATAAGCTATCCACTCAAAGGCCACGAGGGCGAGATGAATAATTGTTCTAGTAAAATCCAACTAGTTGGTCAAAAATATCGATACAAGACAACTTTAGCTAGTTAAAGCTAGACTTTAATCCTCTTTTTGCCGCCAAAAAAGCCGGCGCCTTTCGCTACTAGTGAGCTATAACATAAAGCCTAGTAGTAGCTCAACCAATGAGAACGCAGCATTGACAATAGACCACTAATGGATTTTGGTAATTTTAAAGAGCGTGGAGGGAAAAAATAATCAGGGGGGAGGTGGCGTTTCCCAGGATAATGACGTCTGAGGATCGAGCGCAGAAATTTCGTAATGATGACGTGCCACTACCCAGTTCTGGGTAGTTCATCTGATGGGTTGAAGCAAATTTTCAACAAATCTAAAGCACTATCCAGATTTTTTGTTTTGTTGCAAAACGTGCATAGCGCGCATCATAGCGTTGTGTGCTTCCGTAGCAGGTGTGAAGCAACATTAAATGAATTTAGCAGTTTAAAGGCTAACCTGATTCTTGTTTTAGTATTCCAACTTGTAACTTGAAGGTACTGTAGCTCCGTAGGGAGATCTGGACAATGATGTTCCCAGAATTCCCAAAAGAAACTTCCCTGAAAGTTTTCTGAGTGACAGAAGAGTATCGAGAACGACTGATAACAGTGATACCGTTGCCATCAATAACCTTAATGTACGCACTGAGAAACAAAAAAATACACAAAACAAAAACCAAATTAAGAATGACACCTCCAATTAACAAATTATGCGTCCATTTTTTTATAATTGAGTCGGTAGTTGTGCATATTGGCCAGATAGGTTAATAGGATTTCATTTTTGCCATTAGGGAACTTAAGAACCACGTCGAAGTTCACGACGACGACGTCTGTTGAATGGGAAAATACTGGAACGAGAACGTCAGCTTCAGAGGGAAATAGGAAACTTAAGATGCAGTCGGTCGGTAGGTCGACAACGACGACACTGAATGTAAACACAAATATAAAACTGTGATGCTCGTTCGCAACAAAGTTTTTCGCAATGGCGTCCTTTAAAACAATGCAAGACCTTATTTTTTAAGCCATACGTCTAATTTCATTGACGATGGAGAATTTTTTGTGTTGTCTGACCTTTTCGAGTGGAAAACACCTGCTTTCCGTACAAAGATTATTCAACTTTCAACCTGCGAGAGATGACCGAGTCCGAGTGTCTGTCAGAGTTTAGATTCTGAAAAAGAGACATTCTGATGTGATAGCTGTTATCTATATAAAGTTTATTTCCTCTATATTAAAGATGTATGATTTGCCTTACCTAAATACGTACAAATAAATTTATCACTTACGAGTTCGCTCGCTCGGCCTCCACAGCTGTTGTCATTCTTCGAAGTAAAAACAATTCATTAGTCGAATTTTCAATCAACATCGCTTGTTAGGAGAAAAAAGGAACGATACCTGGAGTCACGAGAATAAGAAAATGCAAAGGACTTCAATTATGGCTTAAAACAGTGGATTGATACCTGCCGAAGCTTGCGGATTGCAGGACGACGTAATTCTACTTTGTCTGGCGTCATCGACGACACCACGACGATGAAATTTACTGGTCGCGCTTGCACTGTACACGGTAACTCACTTCCGGTCGTCGTCGTGGTTCGATGCATTTCAGCGAGGAGGATTAGACGGTTAGCGAAGATGGAAAAGGAAAGAAGACCGTCCTAAAAAAAGATGCTGTCTCGTCTATTTTCAGTGGTCTGGTAAAACACGCTCCCGGACTACTTTAGGAAGCAAAGAAAAACGCAAGGAGAATCATCCGTGGAACCCAGGAGGAAACGTCGGAGAAAAATCTGTCAGCAATGCGAAAGGAAGCGTGGTGTCATCGAGAAACTACCAACTGATCTTCAGGAAAAAAACAGCACAGTTGAAAGAACTTGGAGATACAGAGTCGCATTACCAAAATGAAAACCAAAAGCGCGAGCATGCTAGCGCCTTGTAGGAAGATAAACTGGACGTGCACGTCTGTTTTTCTTCTGAGAATTTTCGTTTCCAAGACGAATATATTCGGTTTTACACTGGTATCATATCCTGGGATGAATTTTTACATTTGTTTTTAGCTATATAAAGTCGAGATGTAACGATATGAATTGTTAGAGATCAAATGTTAAAGTAAGTGAAAATCACCAGCATGAGTTACGTCAAGGGAGACCTCGTGCATTGTCAATGCTTGGTGAATTTTTCTTGACTCCCGTAAGATTGAAACATGCCTTTGCAGAGGAGCATCCAGCTTATCATTTTAAAATATGTAGGGCAACACTTTCAAAAATGTTTCTGTCTTGGATTAACTTGTTATTTTTTGAATTGGGATCCATTCCCATCTGACAGAATAAGGACTTGATATGGGAAACAATGCCTATTGATTTCAAAGAAAAATACCCTGCCTCTATATGTATTTTTTTATTTTTATTTTAGATTGCACGGAAATTAAGGTTTGCAAACCCTCATCCCTACGAGCTCAGAATCAATGTTTTTCCTCTTACAAGAACACAACAACTGCCAAGGGATTTTTGGGGATTGCACTCTCTGGTGCTCCAGTATTTAATTCTGATCTTTACACTGGAAGTATTTCAGATAAAGATATAACAAGACAAAGTGGAATCCTTGAGCTGCTGGAGAAAGGAGATAACTACATGGCGGATAAGGGATTTAACATTATAGATCTATTAGATCCAAATGAACCCTTTCTTTCTGAAAAAGGCCAGTTTGATGAAGAAGAAGTGGAAACTACACAGTCTATAGCTAGTGTTCGAATCCATGTAGAGAGGGCTATCGGTAGAATCAAGATGTACAAGATTATTAACAATGTTGTTCCCCTGTCTCTCTCAGATTTGGACATTATGTTGCATGCTACTATTATTTCAGTCTCTTATCATCAACCAGGAGAATGAGGAACACTTGTTCTGATTTATCAAGATTTTCTTGTTAAAACATGAACATTTGACACACATGCAAAATTATATTTGCATACTTCAAAACTGGCATTGTTGAGTGATTAAACTGTTTGTTCAAACTTATTTATGTATAAGTTTATATATAATTTTCCATTTTCCATGGCCTTTGACTTGGAAAAAAAAAACTTTATGCCTTACTAGGTATGGCACGTAGTGAGAAAAATAAACTTCGTGAACGCTAGAAGTGAGTTTGTGAAAGATTTCAGGTTCAAATTCTAGTTTCTCCATAAAAAAAAGAATCTCGGACCCTTCCTTAGAATGGGTGCAAAATTTGGTCCACGAAAAAACAGAAATTCCCATCAAGTCCTGAAGTTTAAAGGAGTATTTATCATTTCGTTTGAGTCTTGTCTTTATTCTCGTCTCGATGAACGTAAATGTCTCTCTTCCGCTCTAAGCATTCCTCAATTGTCTTACCCCTCGTTGTAAATAATTAAAGCATTTTATTTCTAGAATGCCAACCGATGGATTTTCATTAGGATCATAATTGATTCAATCAACGGAACAACCCATCCAGTAAATATTGGGATGAACTAGCAAACCACATTTATGACTTGAGGTCCTGTCACCTCTTTGAACTCTTTAACAACCATTGTTCTGACTCTAGACAATATTTCATGGCCTGAGTCTGCGCCTTTGTTGATGAGAATAAACCACGTAAAAAAAATTTATTAATGGTAGCCTTTCTTGCACCAACTTCACCAAATTTTGAGGCAGTAATCCTGAATGCTCTCTCTTGACGCCAAACTGAGCTGCTGTACTGACTTCTTGTATTATTAATATTAGTTTTTTTTTTCAATTTAAAGTGACCTTTCCCGTGAGATAATGATATTTGTTAGGAAAGTGTTCTCCTCTTTTGTAACTGTTGGCAGTGGACCTTTCCTAACATATTCTGGTAAGCTAATTTCTACAGGAAAGTCAAACAGTGCTCTAAGCCCTCACTGTAGGCAGACTCAACGAAGCCAGCGGGATAAATATCACTTAATTATTTGTTTAAGGGCAGGCAGCCTGGCAAGAAATTTCTCCAAGGAAGGGACTGATGGGTTACGGAGTTATGGTATTTGAGCCAAGAAGCATAAGTGGTAGGGTTATCAGCTGAGATGTTCTCCCCTAGTTGCTGTATGTTTTCTTCAGTAACCAGTCTTTGTTCAATAGTTTTGGTATCATATGAATATCCCTGCACAATCTTAGGGAACTCTTCCCGAAGCTTTCGATATATTCTTAGCTTTGCAAACTCAGAGGCGAACCATCTTTCTGGTTCAAGTGAGGGACCTCAGGTCTGTGCCATTGTTGTAGATGCGAGGTTGGTGAGTCATCATCGCGCAGTTTTACCATTACGTAGATAAACAACACAGATACATGCTGCCATTTCAAAGTTCCGGCTTTACATGAACACTGAGTTACAGTTTCTATACATCCGTCTACGGAACTGTCATCAAAAACAATTCTTAAGCTGCGTGGCGTTTCAGTCATTCTCATTGAACGGTAACACTTCCCTTTTATCATGCAGCAATCTTCCGAAAGCAGGATTTTGACGTCTTCAAGGTACGCTTCTAGATACTACTTGTCCTCTTTCTGCTTTCCCTTTTTCGTTTCAAGTCATGTCTTCGAAAACTCCAAAATATACTCAATAATCTTCTCCTTTCCATCTACCGCTTCCGCCATATTAAACTTCTTTTATACCCCCAGTTTCCAGGCCTCACTCGGCCGGCGTCATTTTCGAGAAGGGACTATTGCTAATACACGGCGCTTTCGCAGCGGAATTTAAGTTTTTTTAGAGCCCGCGGTAAGCGCCCAGCGTTATCTGATATGGTAATGACATTCAACCTAGCAACGCCTAGCAAAGGATTTGTTGGCTGCAACGGATGGAGTGGGGTCTTTGTTTTAAAGCCAATAGAATGATGCCACGTAGAGTCTATTGTCTAAGAAAACAACACGAAATGATCATGAAAGGGTCAAAGATATGGCGTACATCGAAATGGTCGGCTGTCCTTGGACCGATTTTGACTTATATAGCCACGAAAATTCATCGTTTCCGATAGCAAGGTTTGACCCTAGTCACTTTGGCAAAGATTTTAGACGCTTCTGGTGGATTTTTTGAAGTTTTTCCATGGGAAATAGTGATTGAGAACGGAAGATGGATAGTGAAACGCCACAAATTTCAAGTAAGTGTCTTAGTCCCATTTCATTTACTCGCCCTATAAGGATTCTTTTGGAAGGCATTTTCAGGGATTCTCGCAGCCATGTTGTCTCCCGCTACTGATGGCGTTGTTATCTTTTTACGGTGTTATTCGTTTTCTCGCAAAGAAAGCCATATGATTTAAACAGCGGAGTAATTGTAATAGACTTCTGGTATTAGCTTTTTATTTCACATGTTTTTATGTGATTTGCAACGACTGTAGACTACATTCAGTCAAGTTTATTAAAATAATATTTAAAAAATGTAGTAAACACAGACCAACCTGAGCAAAAATAAATCTTGTTTTCATGCCAAAACATATGCTTAGAAAACTCAACCTAACAGCTGTTTACGACTTCAGTTTGGTTAATAAATTGTGTAATTTTTTGGTTGCAAGAAGCTCTCAGCTTTTCAACTAAAGTAAGCACATTATTATAAACTTATTCTTGCTGGGGTTGGTCTCGTTTTAAGTTTCTTTTCTTTCTCTCTGGAATCATATCTCTGTTTATAGGATGAACGACTAAATGATGCTCTTCCATCATTTTCTTTAGTCGTGATGTCGCTGGCTTCACATGAGAAAATGTTGATGCAAGCTGGACAAATTCATGGTGGACACTTTCGCCTCCTTGCTCACCGAAGAAGCCTAGAGGAAAGTGCCATTTGCGCATGAAAGGAATAATATGTTCCTCGAGCATATGTAGCTTTGGAGGAAAGGAAGCGTCTGGGAAAGTTTCCCTGAAGAAACACACAAACTCTTCTATATCTGTCTCTGTTGACAACAGTTGTAAGGTAGACAAAATATTAGAATCCTAGAAACTCATACAGGTGATGTAAAAAATTGGAGATCTCAAGGTTTTTGTTGTACCTAACACATCAATTTCTGTGTCCTCCACTGCCTCACTGGAATTGTATTTTGAATGGCACCGTGCAAACAGGGTTAATAGTGATTCAAACTTCTTCTGGATAGCAGTGGCCTCATGTAAAAGAGATGAAGATGTTGCCCTAGTCGTTTCAGAAATCGTTTCGCACAAAGATTTGATGTTGTTTGCCTGGAAAAGGATGATATAATAATTTAAACTTTATCAATCATGGGTACAAGTCTGAATAGTAATCACTAATATCCATAGGGTTTTTGTTCTGACTTATTACCTTAAGGCAGATGTCAACATGATTGCCAACGAAACTTTGACTGTGGTATGCTTGTCTTTTGACATTAATTTTCTGTAGAAATTTCTCAATCGCAGTATTCACTATCCCAGATCCTTTCGGTAATGAATTACTGGACTGAATGGCCAGTGACTGCGCTCTCTATAAAAGTGAATAACAAGAGTCAGAAAGAATAAACTGAAGCCAATGCCATTTCCATTCGTCGATTTGACATCAAGTATTTTTTAATTGTCCAACTTAAGATAGTTTCATGCTCTTCAATTAATCAACAAACCTCATTTTCGGCTTTCTCTTTGAGCTCTTTTACAGAGTTGAGTAACGATGTTATCAAAGGGTTTTCATTGCCCTCATCAAACACTATAACATTGCTGGCCACAGTCAGAAGGTGTACCACGTATTCCTCAGTTGATTGAGCTTGTGCGTCATAATCTTGGGCTGCCTTTGAGTGTTCTGCAGCTTGTCTAAGAAGTGTGATGTGCTCATTTAGATCACCCATACCATCTAGCTGACTACTGCTTTCAGCCAATTTCCAGGCAATCTTTGTATCTAACTCATCACACTCCCCAACAAGCATATCAAAAAACTTCAAAAACAGTCCAAGGCTAATGTGGAGACCAGGAATGCATATCTGAAGATAATCATGCAAAACAATATTAGTGAAATAATACAAAAGGAATAATCTACATTATCTTGAAAAAGGTTTCTGGATAAGATGTTATACCTGATCAATTGGGATTTCAAAAATCGCCTTCTGGATTACATTGCAGTAGTTCTTTGCCTTTTTTATGTCACCCCCATCGTCAATGAATTTTTTGTGGCAATTCTGAAGGTGTTCCAGTGTACGGGATGTTGTAGGGCTTCTTTGATTCTTTGGGAGTTTCATCTCACTAGCTATGATGGTACACCAGAGGCATGAATGACGTCCTACAAAGAATGTTGAATTTGTAAGTTCCTGAATTTATTTTAGCATTCAAAGTGCATTAAAATTTGTTAAACTGATTTGCTTAGCACTTGCACCACTGATCCCCATAACTTTACAAAGGAATTCATAATCCCCAAAAAGGAAGAGGACTGGGACTTTGTTCCTAAAATATAATTTATACAGTCATCCAAATTAATACTAGAATAATTAGATTTTTATTACCGGTAATAATTTGGGCATAGGATTATTAACTTACTTGACTTTTAGATTAGTAAGTTCCTTCAGAGAATCAGCGTGCTGTTGAAGGACTGTGAGCAGATTGTTTCGGGTATCCTTACCCTCATAAATGGCAAATACCACAGTTTTTTTGCTAGAGTTGGGTTTAACGAGGTTGGCCAATTGAAATTCTAATTTCATTGACCCTTGCCCATGATCTCCCCCAATTTTAACAAAAAGTTTGTCTTGTGGTATTTTGCCATTGTGCCAAGTAAGTTGTCCCGTCCTGTGAAAAAATTATTGTAAAGAGCTATTAGAAACAATCCCCTATAGACATGTCTTCTAGTCAATTAAGAATAAGAAGCATAGTCTTACTTACGAGTCACAGTCATCCACGTAAGAAATAATTTGCTCCTTAAGGTCGCTGACATAGGCACAGGGAGTTTCCTTTATTACCGTGACAGTCTTGTTCCCTCGTCTCTCTGTGTGTTCCATTGGAAGAAGCTCCTCTTCAATTTTGTCTCCTATCTGCTCCCTCTTGCGTACTCTTTGGTTCTTCTCACTCTCCATCTTGATTCCCCATTGCTTAAACCACCTTAATGTAAAAACATTCAGATATCCAAACTAGGTACTGTGAACATTTAATAGAATTATTTTGTTTTTGCCTAAAAGAGAGTCACGTACAACATGATGAGTAAAATTAAAACATGATTAAACTATACCATACCTTCTTAGTTTATTGAGACGGTACCAGGTGATCCCCAGATCTGCCTTCATGGCATTTGCTTGACCCTCCGGAATGTGAAGAACAAGTTCCTTCCCCAGGGCGTCATTTAAAATTTGCCTTCTCTCCTCCTGACTCTTACGTTTAAGGGTGTGTACCATGTGCACATCCATCTGGTCACTGCTTATGGTTTTACCCACTGTCTCAATTGCTTTTGTCCTATTAAGACGCTGCCTAGCAGTCACTTGATCAGAGGGTTTTTGGGCAACAGGAACATGTACTACACCTAAAGGCTAAGACAACGTTTAATAGGTACAATGAGCACATACCGTAAGGGGAGGGAAGAATGATTAATTACAGGACAAATTCAAAACATAAAGTTACCTTTCCACCAGTCTTGAAGAGTACAGTTTTTCCATCCGGGGCATTTTTAATTCTACTTCTGACATATGCCGTGCAAATTTTTTCCACTTCTGGTGAGAAATTACCAGCCTGAGCGTCTTTTAGAACTTGCTGCAAAGTCTGGGTGGGATCAAGGGGAGGAGGCTGTTCAGGAACAGGTGCAGTGTCATTGGAACAAACATGAGATGAACTGTGTTCGTAGTGCACAGTCTGGCCACATTTCTTACATACTATCTCCTGCTCAGCTATTAATTTTAGTACCATTCGTGTAGGGATTTTTACAGGGCCAACTTTCTCCTTACAGACAGCACATGTACCCCCTTGGCCACTGTTAATTAAGCCTTTTAGGCATTGTACACAAAAGTAGTGCTGACAAGTGGTTTCCACTGGCTTATCCAAGACTTGAAGGCAAACCGGGCAAATTAAATCTCGTTTCATATTTTCGGGAAAGGAAAATTTATCGGAAAACTCCTTGAAGCGAAGAGAAGGTAAGTCTTTAGTAAGCTCTTCAAGATCTTGTAAAGAGGTTTCGTTGGCGTCCTTTGTCTCCTGCGAATTGGAAGGTCTTGAATCGGCCTTCCTTCCCCTTTTTGGCTTCTTGGGCCGTCCTCCTTTTCTAATCTCTTCTACACGGGAACATACTCCACAGTTATCTTCGTAATGAGTGAGCCATGTGGCTTTAACTAGTGTTCTTCGGTCAGGATGCGCGTAACATGAATGACAAAAATATTGCGGGTGTATTTTCTTCAAGATCCTTTTCCACAAAAATTTCAAATTTTTCAGCCAAGAAATCTTTCCATTTCATACAGAGAAACTTTGAAGTAACCGCTTTCTTGGATTTTTGAAGCCTTTCGCCACATACACGGCAAAGGTCAGCTAGATTCTTCATGTGAATTGACGCCATCGTCGCAGCGGAACAAAAAATGTTGTGATATTAAGTTGTCTTAAATCGGGATTTAGAGAAATGGGACTAAAATGTTACTTGCAGGGGGCTATAACATATAGTTTAATGATTCTAAAAAAAGCAGTGAAGCAGCGACAAAAACTTCAGAAGAAGAGGAAGGGCGCTTTTAATTTTCGACTTTTGCGTAATACGGAAGCCGCGCCATAACATCGCGTGGTTCAACAAGGTCTCGCTTTACAACTCCCAGAATAATGACTCAACACTCCTGTGTCACGTCTCTTATGGCTTCGTGACCTAAAGATTTTAAATACAGTTATTGCGCATACAAATCTTTCATCGCTGTCTCCGGCGCATTGTGTTTTTTTGGCTTGGGAACAAAAAACACTGTCATTCTTAAAGGGCCTGTTAGCTATTAACTGGAAGTTAATATGGTCAATCCCATCTTGGTTAATATTGCGCGGTCGCAAAGCAAATTTCCGATCTCAACCATTTGAAAGTGCCGTGAATAGGGAACTTAAGAACCACGACGACGACCGGAAGTGAGTTACATTGTACTGCGCAATCCACAAGCTTCGGCAGGTATAGCCTTAAATTCATATGATTGCTTCGAGTCGTTTTCTCCTCTCAACAACGTCTGAATCAACCGGCCGTTAATGCCGTTCAGTGACGTCACTCACTACCCAAAAACCGGGTAGTGACTTTGATTGGTTGATTGTCTAAACATTCGCATAATTGTGTATAATTATGAAAAATTTTAGCGGGATTGTCGCTTGATATTCAGCGGATCGCATCCCTGGCACTCTTTCGTGTAGTTCAAACATTTCGATAAGCTTAATCTTTATCTTAAACAGCAAAATTGGCCTTGTCTTCGAAACTGAAATGCTAAATCGAACTGCGAATGAAGAATCATTGCGGAGAGTCGGTAGGTTTTTCATTTGGAGCCGCTTTGTGGTTCCGGCGGCCGGTGCTTTTGTTTACGCGTCGATTCAGACGTTAATAGGGACCTTTAGCATCAGGTTTTTCGTGGGAAACGGCAAACCGCAAACCGCAAAATGTCACGTGACCAAGGCCTTGCGGTCACGTTTGCAGTTTGCAGTTCACGTTTGAACCGCAGGAAGGGCTTCCAGCGGTAAGTGATTTACGGCAAGGTTTTTTGCTACAAAAAATTGTACAGCCTCATGTTTAAAGGTATGAACTAGCTTTTTGTATCCGTTTGCGATGTGTTTGTCGGATTTTTGATCTCGAATCAATGAATTATTGCTGAGTTTTGGGCGATTTAAGTGATGCACTTCGACTTGATGAAAACAACATGGCGGCCCTAAGCAATGAACGCGTAGTTCAAATCAATTTTATATTCCTTTCTGCCGTACTAACAAAGGAAAGTATTCTGTTCCAATCCAGAGTTAATTTTTTTTTTCTATCTTGTTTCTGAATTCATAACTTAACTCAGTCTCTGTTTAGTTCCTATTTTTAACGTATCACTCCGCGAATATCATTTTATTTTGCTTATCTCTTTTAGACTGGGGAGCCCAAGCTTCATAAAACCTTCTGGTTTCCTCTGGGCCCCCTTGCAACCTTACAATTCCTATATGTATTCTTGTATTGTACTGTATTTTGGCTAAATAAAAATGAACTGAACTGAACAGAACTGAACGCCTTGCTAAAGTTTGAAATCTCGGCAACGCGAAACTGCAAACGCGTAACTGCGGTTTGCCGTCTGCGGTTTGCGGTTTACCTGATGCTAAAGGTCTCTATTGAGGGAGTAATAACGACTCGAAGTAATCGGATGAAATTCAGGCCATGGCAGGTATAAATCCACTGTTTTAAGCGATTTTTTAAAGTCCTTTGCATTTTCGTATCCTCGTAAATTCAGGTATCGTTCCTTTTTTCTCCGAACAAGCGATGTTGATTGAAAATTCGACTAATGAATTGTTTTTACTTCGAAGAATGACAACAGCTGTGGAGGCCGAGCGAGCGAACTCGTAAGTGATAAATTTATTTGTACGTATTTAGGTAAGGCAAATCATACATCTTTAATATAGAGGAAATAAACTTTATATAGATAACAGCTATCACATCAGAATGTCTCTTTTTCCACATTTAAACTCTGACAGACACTCGGACTCGGTCATCTCTCGCTGGTTGAAAGTTGAATAATCTTCGAAAAGGTCAGTCGCAGCAGAAAAAATTCTTCATCGTCAATGAAATTAGACGTACGGCCTAAAAAATAAGATCTTGCATTGTTTTAAAAGAAGCCAATGCGAAAACTTTGTTGCGAACGAACATCACAGTTTTACATTTGTGTTTACATTCAGTGTCGTTGTCGACCTACCGACCGACTGTATCTTAAGTTTCCTTTTTCCCGCCGAAAGTGGCGTCCTCGTTCCAGTCTTTTCCCAGTCAACAGACGTCGTCGTCGTGAACTTCGTTATGGTTCTTAAGTTCCCTAATAATGATTGATTATGATAAACTATATCCCCCTCTACTTTGAGGAGTTCAAATTCGTCTAGGGCGAAAATTCGGAAGTTGGCAAAATGCCTAGTGATTTAAAACGCCTTTCCGTTTGTTGTGCAGCAGCCGCGTTTCCTCAAACAGATATTATCCAAAAACCGATGTATACGTAAGCGAAACAATGAACAGGAACAGAAGGCTTTTCCCCCTATCATGGTCACTTGGCGTTCACAGCATCAAAAAATCTTTCCATGGGCGTAACCAGTAATTTTCTATAAGTACGCTCAAGTAAGAAAAGAAGCCCCCCCCCAAAAAAAAAGACATGCCATTTATTTGAAATGATAACACAAGGAGATTGCGATAATTTTTCCAGTATAGTTCGGCTCTTGTTACATATTTGCATACTTAAATACATGTTTACATACATGTTTTTATTTGGGGTCTTAGGGACTGTGCAATAATTATCAGGAGGGGGGGCTGAAAAACTAGAGGGGGGGCATTACATAAAATTGCTCCCAAGATAGGGGGGGCTCAAAGTAAAACCACTCATTTGACGGAGGGGGGGCCTTAAGTTTTATTCGAAATGTAAATAAAATTAAACGCAATAAAAGATTCTCAATAGAGGCATCATGATAGACTGTAACAAATATCAACACGAACAGCTGTTAAACGATTATTGAAAATATTCCATCAAAATGAAAAGCAAATTCACAACTGATCAATTTTAACCCGTCTTCTAATTAATTGAGCTGATCCTATGTAAAGCAAAAATCATGAACTTGTTTTTCAGCTTCCCCCATAAAATGGGAATCAAACAGATCTCGTAGACAAGCTTGGTCGGTTTTTGATGTGAATAAAAGTAACGTTTCTTCATCGACTGAATCGATTTGCTGAATTCCATATATATGTAGCTCATAACAAAGTTCAACAGGCTCTCCTCCCAAGGATCTAAATATAATGCAAGCTCTTTTTCGTCTGTTATTTGAAGCCTTCAATCTCCTGTTCTTTGATTTTTTTCTCTGCTCCTTTCTCTTTCTGGCTTCAGAAGTTTTAGATTTTGAGACAATGTGGTAAGCACCCTGGTACTTAGCAAATCCTTTGTCTAAATCTTCAATCAAGCCATCAACATCCTTCTCGATACTAGATGTTACATAATAACGTTTGTCATTATTGAAGCTGTGATGGCAGCTCAGTACAGTTTGGAGTTTACAGTGTGGTGAGAGGGGGGAAGGGGTGCGACGTTATTTTTAACATAACAGAAGGGGGGTTAGAACTAATTTTTTTTTGTTTTGGACGGGGTTACTGTCTAAGTTTTTGCTAGATAACTCTAGTTTTTCAGCCCCCATAATTTATTCATTAATTAAGTCCTAGGGTATTTACTTTTGCCGTTTTCCCCTTTTATTTTTTCAAAGCATTCGAATACTTGTTACATAGGAGGTGGTAAAAGGGGGGGATTCGCAAGTTAAGTTTATTTTTAATCAAGGAGTCTGGGGACATGCTTCCCAGATAATTTGGAACATCTGTATCTTAGAAATGCAATTTATAACATTCTGGGTATAAGCGGAGTGCAGTCGTCTGTGTTCACTCTGTGTTAATTCTCAAATTTTTGAAGTCAAAACTCCCCGTAGCATGAGCCCTCTAGTCAGAAGGCAATTAAAATAGACTGCAGTGATACTAGGTTGTGATCGATATATTCCAAAACCGGAGAACACTGGAACACGGCCCCGGAAAACGGGGAAGGTAAATTGAACAGAACAAAGACATACGGAAACCTAGTAACATGAATAATTTGACTGTTTTTTTATTGTTTTGGGGTGTTCAAGGTCTTACTAGATGCATGATCTTCGATAACCGGAAATACCCTGGAAAGTCGAGGCAGGTTTTTCTTAGGCTGCTCATCGTGGGGAATATATAGATATATAGATATACATAAAAATATATTACACTCACCGGTAATCAGACAGAGATAGTTCCCGTAATGATACAAGTGCAACAGCTTGGCTGATCCCTGCATTTCCAATTTTCCAGTTGCATAGTAGCGTATGAGAGTAATATCTTCGGCCGACTTGAAAGTTCCCAAACAATTCATTTAAGTTGCCTCCACAACCTGCAAAGCAAACGGGCAATGTCCCCTGTTATTGCTGGTTTTTAATGTCAGGCCATCAAAAATAAAGGAATCGTTCAATAGATATGGTCCAGAAACAGGAAAATGAAAGGAGATAAATAAGATCCTCGCCAAGATTCAGGTTGGTACATTTTTTCATATGCGAGAAATTCAGAGAAATGTTTTACCCACATTTATAGAATTTTGTATGGAGACGCCATGCTGGTCCAAGACGGCGGCCGGAAACGAACAGATACATATGTCACTGAGGTTTGCTGTAAAAGCGTGCATTTATCTCTCGAAGAACTCATAAACATTAAAATAACGTTATTTTTTTCAAACACAATGACCGTTTAGGAGGAAAAATAAGACGCGACTTACATAAGACGCGAACTTTCCGTATAAATGGCACATTTCGTCTAAAATAAGACGCGGCTTAGCTAAGACGCGTCTTATTAGATAAGACATGCTCGTATAAATGGTACAGTTCGCGTCTTATTTAAGACGCGTCTTATGTAAGACGCGTCTTATTTTTCCTCGTATAAATGGCCCTAATGTCTCGACCTCACCGAGGTCATTTTCAAGTGCGAGTTTCATAACTACATATTACAACGGTTTTAAAATAGTTTAAAATGTAAGAATACAATGAACAACAAAAAGCGATACAATGTGTAAACGATAAGTGATAAATTATTTTTAAAACATGGAAATAAATAATAATTATAAAAGTATATTATAATTATCATAAAAATTATCCCAGAATCCTTTGAGGCAAGTTTTTTTTTAAAGCTTTGCAACTTTGACAATTTTATACGTAGAAGAATGTTAGACCATAACAAGAAAATATTTGCCATAAAATATCTCCTCATGTCACACCTAGGGTGATGACGCCATCAGTCACGTGACCATTGCTGAATTAGGGTTTTTTGTTGCTGTGACAAGATCTCATCATTGGGTTAAAATAAAATAGCATTTTGAGGTTTTGGTTGTGTGGAGCATTTAAAAATAACCAGTTTACGTCCGGAGTTTAAAATTTAAAGGGGGAATGAGCATAAGCGCAAAAAGGCGGGAAACTAGGCCGAGGGCTGTAGAGAATTGACGTTTCATCACACGGCAGAGAAAAGTTGCAGGAAAGTAATGTTCTACCTGACAATTTTTTTCGTTACCAAAAGAGGGACATGACGTCATCAGTCACGTAATCTGAGCGTTTTGAATATTTTAGGTCGTTGTTAAAGTAAATTTTTCGCTATAGATCTGCAAGTTTTTGTTGTTTTTCTCCACAAATCTTTACACTCTATTACCCCTAAGTAATTATTATTCCATTTTCTAAACAGAAGCAAACGAAAACTGAGCCAGCAGTTTAAAAGTTGCGTAAATTGACCGATATTGCAATTTAACATCGAAAACGAGACCTACTTAAAGCTAATTAAAGCCGATGTAAACAAATAATTAAGCGCGGATGGAATCATTCTGTTCAGAGTTGGTTTCAGTTCTTTGATAAAAAGAATTTCAAAAATAAGGCAATCAAGTTTGTTGTGGCACTTTTTTAACATTCTAAAATTTCGCGCAAATTCATTTGGGGACATGTTGTACTGATCCCTCAGGTGGTTTCCGATTGTAGGTCGAAACGGAGTCGAAACGTCGTGGCCTTTTATCGCTGATTTTTATCATAAAATGACTGTTCGTTTACCCTACGTGACAGTTCTATTGGCCGCTATGTATATGTCGCGTCACGCAGTTGCATAAAAGTTTGTTCTGAATCCATCGCTCTCTTCGTAAACATTTCAACAGTTAGTATATGAGGTTGAGTATGAGAGAAAGACTCTGTGCATGGGGGATTAACGCAAATCAGAATTCTATAAATAACTAAAATTTAACAGCGTTATGACATAAAATATCACCTGTTGTTATGTACTGCCAATACGACTGGGTTCCCGCGCCTTTAGGCGTAAAGGCTGCTACGGCTATTTTATAGCGAGTTGCTGCCTTGAGACCTCTTAATATCACCATGTTAACATACGGACTCCTGGTTTTCAGCGATTTTTTCGTATACGGGTAATAATACTCGTGATAGTAGATTGTGTATCCAAGGAGACGCCCATTGGCAAATTGCTGAGGGAGAGGATCCCACTGTACTTTAACTTGATCAAACCGTAGGTTAGTCACCATGATATAAGATGGTGCTCTTCTGGGAACTAAAAACAAAACAAGGTGATTGAATGTAGTAAAAATAAGTGTACTCTTTTGGCCCATACTAAGTTAATGACAGTATATAATACTGTAATAATTAATTAAACAAATCATGCAATGCTACAGAAACGAAGACAACGAGAACGGTAAAAAAAAAAAAAAACAACAACAACAACAATCAACTTTTTTCACTGCCGCTCATTTTCACCTTGGTGGCCACTAGGATTTCTCATTTTCTTCCCACCGCTACAAAATTGCATGATTCGCGCGCGCGTGGACGGAGCCCCATAGCTAAGGAAATGTGGTAATCTACCCATCCGAGAAAATTTGGTAATCACGTGACCGTACGACCGTCCGTCCGTACCACAGGGGAACCAATGTTTACTCTCACACTTTCTAGCTAGTTTGGGAGCCCAATAGAAAACTAATTGCACATCAATGTTGTGATCAATTGACAGCTGTCAAAACAGGATATCCGCTGACCAGTATCACCTGACTGTACCGCGGGCTCAAGTGTCGACCCATCGAGGTCTAGTACGTTTTTGAAGTTATCCGCTGACAAATTACCAGTTTCAAATGATCGCAGGCTCAAGTTTATTTTTTCCAATGATTCATATGAAATATGTTGTGTTTATGTCACTACGGCCCCGCACTGTCAAGATTTTGATTTCAAACTGACCTCCGACCACTTTTCTTACCATGGTCACGCGTTGGTCACGCTCTACGTCCAATTTTTGTACTCTGATTGGTCAAAATTTGACAGGTGAGTTCATGCGGAAAATTTATGCAGCATCTTGAAAGTTGTTTACCTTGACAGTAAAAGCTGACAGAGTTTTGTGTCAACTTGTGATGTTTTTAACTGTCTTTTTCCACCGGATGTACAAAATGAAATACAGCTGCTGTCAAGAGTGTTCTCTTATCCATGGCTGGTTTGTTTATTGGGTTTTTGGTTGAGAAATGCGTCGCTTGTCAAAATTTGGTAATCCGATTTCGGATGGCATCGTTTTCGTCTTTCACTTTGCTCAATGCGTAAGAGGGTTTAAAAGTCTCAAGCAACTATGGCTTTCCTTGATATCTTTCAGGAACTGAATCTCGAATGGTAAGCCTGAGTAACTATTGTATTTAATGTTTGTTTTTGTTACATCCAATTTCATGAAGTCGAGCACAGTTTATGCGGCAAGTTTTTGCACGTTTGTTGAGATTTGAGTCAATGATCGGATCTAGTATCAGGTTTGATATAAGCTTACAGAACTTTAAAAGGCCTTCAGATATATTTTCTCACGGCAAATAGAAAAAAGAAAAAAACGTTCCGAAGAATATTTAGTTATAAATTTGGCTGTAGAAAGAAACCTTTGAGTGATTTTCTTGTTTCCAGGAGTTCATCTTTGAAAAAAAAAGCAAACACCGAGAGGCCGGCTGAAAGTAAAACAAAATAAACTTAAGCTTAAGCTTTGAGCTTAAAGACTCAGGATTTTTAGACACACTTTAATACTTGTCTTCGTGAATGAAAATTGTTGTCTCTGTAAATGTTTTACCGAATTATATATTTTTTTATTGATTGCTAGTAGTCTCTCTTGCAATTTTAATCGCTTGTCCGTGGTGTTTGTTTTCATCGTTCATGAACATCCCAGAAGTACTTAGAAATGTAGCGCGTATCAAACGCTTTATAAGATTACACATCGTTATAACTGGAACCATTAAATAACAAAAATGTTGAAGCGTATCTCCATTAAAGTTCAGTCAAACACTCGACCACACTGACAGCTCGCACTAAAAATGAGAACCGGCTGAACGTATGGGTGATTTTGGAAATTTTTTGAACGGTTTCGCTAAAAGCCCACGATTGATCGTCCTGAATATTGAAAAATTGTGAAATGCCGTATTCTGTCCGAGGTCTGTATGATAAAAAGTACTGTTTCACCTCAGATGTGATGTATAAAAAGTATAAAAAGCTGGTTTACACAACCTCAGATTTGTTGGCAAGAGTTTGTAAAGTAAACCTGTCGAACGCAAAAAAATGCGGCCTGATTTGTTTTCCAAGAATTTGTTTTCGAGGCCTAATCTACTGTGATCAAGAGCCATTATGGCTCTTGAATGTGATAGAAGATGTTTGCTATTTTTTGGGTGTACATATATTTAGGCTATCAACTCGATGTAAGATGTTTCACTCTAAAATAACTTATCCTTTCCCTCAAAAGTCACATGAATGTGCCCTTAAGTTAACTGATTTGTGGATTACAAGTTTATTTTTTGATTTAAAATATAAATTTATTAATGGGAGCTTCGCTTTTAGCCCTGGCTAAATCTATATATTATTTTGTTGAATGAAACTAAAAACATTAAAGACAGCCTCGCTTTTAGCCCTGGCTAAATCTATTTAGTATATACTAAAACAGTGGATAGTGCTTTTCGTGCGCTCTGATTGGCTACTCAATGAGGAAATTTCCCCACAAGAGCTAAAGAAATGCCTTCAAAAGTTTCATTTGTCTGCAAGAAAAGCGACGACCGCGGCTCTTCGGTCACTGCGCGCCAAAATTGTAATCGTTGGCAACAGTAAATGAGTTAAAAATCATCATTTTTGTGCTCAGTTAGCTCACTGTTTTAGTATATACTAAGACAATTATTCACCTCAGTGTCGGTGGCTAGTGGTAGAGAGTTACCTCGCCACTTCGCGGCCTTGGTAACTAGTTACCTCTAGCCACCTCCACTTCGGAGAATAATTTTTATTTATTAGGTAATCAAATGGTATGACCATCTCCCGTGAATCCTGGGTGACAGCTATCTCGGACTATTCAACAATATTCACCTCCTAGTCGTGATGAATTATTTCCAAATTTCAGTAGTCACCACTTGATTACACATACCAGTTACTATAATTAACTATTATATTTTAGTATATACACACTCAGTGGTCTTAGTGATTTAAGCGATCTGATTGGTTCGCTATCTAGAACTATTCAACAATAATCACCTCATAGCGAGTGGATAATGTGTGACCTCGGTGTTTTTCCCATTTTTTTTTTTTTTTAGAGAATGATCTTTTATAAGTCGACAAAATCCTAGGGCAGACTTATTTAAGGCAAGAAAAGACTTGGAAGGATTCAATACGGTGTTTTTCAATTTACTGTAGCTGAGTTTTGTGCTCGATGGATTGTTTACAATTCCCGTATATTCGCGTAGAAGAAGCCGTTTCGTGAACTCAGCGTTTTCTAACAAGAAACATTTTGGCTCAAAAATCGAAGTTTATTTATGAAAAACAAATTTAAAAGGAAACGTTTGCAAAAAAAAAAAAACGAATGATACAGGATGACGACGTCTTACCCCAAACAACCGAGCCGCCATTTTTGTCAGCACTTCATGCGAAGAACGACACAACAAACCCTTTTGGCTATAAACTTGGCGAGTCAACAGAATACAACAAAGCTCTTTTCTTCTTAGGTAAGGAAACAGTCCAAACTTTTAGCGGTTCCATTTAAGCCATTACGTTGTTGTTTGCAAAATGATAAACTTGTGAAATGCCATGTTTGAAAATTCTGCAAAGATCTATTTTTTAAACGTACGCGTGATTTGATCTGTCAATCAAATCGTATTTTTTAATGGTTTCCTCTCTGATTTTGTTGATATCACTTCGGGAGTATATACTAAAACAATTATTCTTCTCAATCTCGGTGAATAGTGGCTTTGGGAATATTTACCTCGCCGCTATCGCAACTCGGTAAATATTGAGCCATTGTTCACCTCGATTTCAAAGAATAATTGTTAAATAACCACTGTATAATCGGTACATATGCACATACACCCTGTAATAATTATTCAGTACGGACTTTTTTCTGTAGCTTACGAATACATTTACTATCCCTTGCTTATTTTCGTTTTTTCCTTTAACTTTCCCTATATTTGACATGGACCCCAGCATGCCGATTTATTATTAAAGTCACATATTTGTGTCATATGCAGAGCAAAAAAGTAATTGCAATCCATACCATCAAGAAATCTACTAGAGAGAAACTTTAACGGAAGTTACAATGGTTCTATGTCTTATCTTGAGAAACGATAACCTAGTGACAGTGAAATAAAGTATTGTTTTCGTTCTTGGCGTAGCGTGGCGTGGCGTGGCGTCGCGTGACGTGTTTTGCCCAAAACGTTATACAACACTTACTTCCTCCCTCTGTTAGGGCTGTGACGTTTGAGCTGTTGTAGGGTTGACCATGGCTGCTTATTCCAACGACGTTTACTTGATATTCTGTGTAAGTTGACAGCCCCAGAAAGTTTGCACTGTATAAATCTCCTGAAACGACTGCTGCTCTTGGTAGGTTACCATGGTGGGCGGTTGCGATATAATAGAGTACGGTGTCGTTGATGAGCGGTGCTAAATTCTCCCAGTGAACTGTCATCGAAGTTCTCGAGGTGTTGTCAACGGTCACATTCCAGTTAATAAGTAAAGCTTAAAAAATGATACATAAATCAACCGATATCTGCATGTATGAATATTACAGTAGAACCCCGAAATATCGAACCTCTATAGAACGAAGTCCTCAGTATAACGAACGATTTTCTTTAATTTGCCTTAGTAACAGAAACATATATGGAAAAGAACCTCGCGAACACAAAAACTCGTTATAGTGAACAAATTTTGCCAGTTCATTGACCCTTCGTGATACCGAGGTTCCATTGTACTAAGCTTTTGTCAAGATCTGTTGGAGGCTGTGCAACGTTTGCTCGAATCAGTGAGTGCAACTAGACCAATAATTTTAAATGAAAGTAATAACAAAAAGGGAAACGCATACAAATCTTCTCAATTAGCTGGGGTGTTTCTTGGTGTTACGGAAACTATTGTTGTTTCGCTTTTGGCACCCTATCTAGAATAATAATATATGCCAAACTTAATATAACAGAGAGTTTTATCTACCTATATCATTTATTCATTTAGCAGATGTAAGGATTCTAACCTGAGAAAAGACCTTGCTTCATAATTCCGTATTGAAGCTTGAGGCGACTGTAGCTGCTTAAATGTATCTGAACAGTTATGTCATTGGCATTTCCAAATCCAACCTGACCGAAAGATCGCAGATCAGGCGAATAAGAATATCCGCCCTGCCAAACCAGCGATCCATTTCCACCAGTTATTTTCACATATTCCCTAAATATAAGAAGAAAAACGTAATAAAAATAATAATAAACAGGTAAATAATAATAATAATAAAAAACTTTAAACCACTGATAGATAGGTTATGTTTCCTAACAGCAGGGAAAAGAAAAGTGATGTCACGTTGCCATGGTAGCAAAATTTTTAGATCTCAAAACTCTTTCTAGGCGGAGACGGCCATTGCATTGTTAAACGATGGAAAAGTATGAGCTAGAAACGCTCTATTCAAAAAAGGAGAATAACTACTTTACTTTCAATCACGTGGTCAGCAGCTATGCCATTTTTTTACAACAAATGAAAGCTTTTAAACGAGAAAAGTTTTTCATTTATTTTTGGTACATCAACATTTCCGCAGTTTCATTTTTTTTTTGTACAATTCGCGCCATTCAAAACTTTGCCAAAAGTTGGGGACATGCGTCGATTGTTTGCGAGCCTCCATTGCAAAATTACATAATCTGTAGGGTATGATCCATTTGGCCTGTCCAAGGTTGTTAAAGACAACCCTACAATATCAAACAAATCTTGGAGAAAGGTGTTAAGTAATCAGAGATAACAATTTCACGTAGTACCCGTAAAATACCAAATCTTGTATCCACACTACCGCAACTGCCTGATTTATGCCCCCTCTGCGAATCACAAAGGTACATGTAACATAGCTCGGGCGCCCGTTGGAACCAATCTCTAAGAGGCCAAAAGACCGATCTGTGTATCCTTTGCAACCTAATTGACAGTAAGAAAACAAGAAAATTTAGTTGCTTGATGAAGTTTAACTCAGTTTTTTATTTTCAATCTAGTTAAATCATTCTAAACATACTGCGATTTCGCCACGATGTGTCAAAACCAATTTATACCAGTTGTAAAAATGACTGGAATTACTATAGAATAGACTATTCTTCAGGTCGGAATAATAAATATGATGTATGATATATCTTAACGTTCTATTTTTTGCAAAGAAGCAGACTGCTAGCAGTCACTAGTACATAGTGCATTCTAGAGTAAAAAAAATGAAAAAGGATTTCTGGCGCTTATTTCGAACTAGTGGTCTATGAGGTCTGTTTCAAACGGCATGCTACTGCCGGGCTAAGCTGGCTCAACTGAAACACTTCGACTGTAGCCAACTTGGTTTCAGACGTCCAATAAAATAGCTCTTGACAAAAACAAGGAATAAAAGTAGAAAGCAACTTTCGAAATGTATTCTAATGTAACTCTCACTTATGAATAGAGTTTGGCTTGACAGTATCGCGTCATCTGAAACGGACTTGCGAGTGTTTAAACCATGGAAATGACGTCATGAAGGTGCAGTTTATCTCTCGCGAGCAATTTAATAAATTCAAGTGAAAAACAGTCAATGTTATTTTAAAGACAATGTACATTTTTTTCATGCTGTTTACATTCATAGACCATTAAAATGACGTCAAAATGTATAAAACACTTTGCAGTGAAACACACTAGGTTGCGTACAGACATCTCGATCGTCGAGCAACAAAGAAAATAGGAGACGTGTTCATGCAGGCTATGAAAGCATTCGCCTACAGTTTGTGGTGACACTTGAGTTTTGAACAATCTAATGTCAGGTCTGTGCAGTGTTACAGCCAGAAAGTTTGACTTGAAAGACAAAGTGGCCCCTGAAGTATCCCTTTTAAGGGCCATCTTTTTTTTTCTTTAGGAAAGGGGCCAATCATCTTTTTCAAGCCGCCATAATAAACATCCATGGGTAACCCATGAGCACTTCCGATGATACATCACTAATTTGAGGCTATAATATAGTATCCAGGCTGCTCTCAATTATGATGCTGAGTTATTCGCTCTGATTGATCGAACTTAACTTGTACCCTTTTTGGCCTACTTTTTGGTACTGTTCTGTACTGAAAACCGCTATTAGATGAAAAAAAAAAGGATTGCTTTCAAAATCCTACGGGTGTTCACTTGCAGCCCTGTAAAAGGAAAGGACCAAATTGGCTGCTTAAATTTCTTTATTCTGGGGGCCATCTCTTATTGCAACGCGTGATTTCCACAAAGGCGCGTTCTGGCAGAAAAAAATGTCTCTATGGTCTATAAGATTTGTTGTCGATCTGTTCAATTTACCAGTAATGACAGAGTATTTAGATGACTGAGGTCCAGTTCCTGTGCGCGTGAACCCAGCCACCCAGACTCTGTAGGAATGTGCTGCCTTCAAACCACTCAATACCACCATACGGACATCCGGGCTACTCGTGTTGACTCGTCTCGTGCCATACCGATAATAGGGATACTCTTCGTAGTTGACTACATATCCCAGTAGTCGCCCATTTACACTATGCTGAGGTATTGGATTCCATTGTACCTTTAATTCAGTGAAATGCAGCGTAGAAACTCGTAAGCCCGAGGGTGCAACGCTTGGTACTGGGAAAGTTAAAACATTAACAAATGATGATATTAGTGAGAAGGTACGCCAAAGAGAAGAAATTTTCCTTCATTTGGTCATGAGGGGTTTCTGATATCCAAGTGATACTTAAGCTCAATATCAAAATAAAGGTTACACACCAGGCTCCAGCTATTCAAAAGGTGGATAGCGCTATCTACTGGACAAATCTCTGTTCAGTGGTCAACGCAATAGGCCATTTTAGGCGAGCTCTCGCGCGCGCGAAGCGCGCGCAGCGGAGCACCATGGGTAACAAAATTTGGTAAACTATCCTATTTATTTTGGCCTCCCTTTTAGACAGAGAAATGCAACGCGTAAATTAGCTGCCACCAAGGACTATCGTGGCGCGTGTGTTTCTTAAGATTATATTCGGGGTTGTCCAATTTTCCATAGTCTCTCAAACGGAGCACTCTTGGAGAGACTGGTGAATGCCACATTATGATGCAACAGCTAATGCAAATAAAATACACGAATAGGTCTATTTGTTTTCCGGGCCTAATCTACTGTGATCGAACATGATTGCTATTTTTGGGTGTACAAATAGGACTATTAACTCGATGTAAAATTTATTTCACTCTTGGACTGTCAAATTATTTTTCTCTAAAATCACTTAGCCTTGCCTCAAAAGTCACATGAATGTGCCCTGATCTGTGGATTACAAGTTTATAGTTTGATTTAAATTATGGATCTATTAACGGGAGCTTCGCTTTTGGCCCTGGCCAAATCTATATATTACAGTTGTATGCTCAGTGCCCTGGCCTTTGGATAGAAGCGAGGCTGGCAGTGACCTTGTTTTATTACAGATCTTCCTGCTTTTCGTATGCAAACCGTGATATTCTCATGCTAACAATCCCGTGAACATGATCATTTACATATGAAAAACAAGAAGGTCTGTAACAAAACAAGGCCACCACAAGCCTAGCTTCTATTCAAAGGCCAGGACACTGAGCACACAACTGTAAAATGGCCTACTGGTTTCCCAATTATACTTCGATCCGCTGGATATTGATTTATCCGGTGAATAGCGCTATCTAGCGTTTGAACAACTTGGGCCCGGCTCACTAATCACAACTTAAAGCGACACTCCTTTCTGTTAGTTTGCATGGTCTCAAACTAAAAAATTAAAGACAACAACAACAACAACAAAAACAAAAACAAAAACAAACCGTTAAGAAGTTTCTAAAGATTTTGAAAAAATTGGGAGTGATCGTGCAGAAATGACTCTCAACAGGAAAAATGATTTATTATAAATCTCCGACAAGTTTTTGTTCTTCAGGTATGAAATTAACCTTTCTCCAAACTCAGTGTAGCCTACCACAGAGACATTCTTAGGATTTCGTCACGCATCCCTTGCATGGCGAACCAAACCTCAGCTGGAAGACTATATTCAGAGAGGTTAAACGAAAATTTCAAATAGAGAAAAAAGCGTTTTGAAAGCCTCTCCTTTCTTGAGATCAAAAAGCAAATGTTTTTGTTTTATTAAGAAAAATGATCATACTCACAGTACGACCGCAGTTATATTGGACGTGAGCATCGCATGGGATGGTTCATAGGTTTTATTTGTTTGTTTATGTGATACTTGATTGATTTTTGGTCGTTGCATATTTACCTCCTTCGTTAGTTCTTGCAGTTATTGCTTCACTGGAGTACAGTGTCCCATTTACAGAAGATACAGCAACGACATAAACCTCGTAAAACATGTAAGCTTTAAGTACATTGCCAGTGTAATGTGAATTATACCAATTTGAGACGTGGTAGATCAAGCTGACGTTTGAATTCTTGTCCTTATACTTCACTGATAAACGCTGGATTGGAACACTTAAAGGGAAGTTTGACCACCGTACTGTTAATGACGTTGATGTCTTGTTGATGATGGTAAAATTCCATGAAGGCACTATTTGAGCTGTGGATGAATAATAATAATGGAGATGATGATCATGATGACGGTGCAATGATGATGATGATGATGATGATAATGCCGATAACGCTAATGATACTAAATGAAATTACCATTATCATCATGATCATTATCATCGACATCATCATCATCATCATCATAATATGATCATCGGCACAATAATATTCATTACCAACGTCTTTAAGTGTAAAACAATGAGAATAAGAAGGAATGTTTCATTTTTAAGGATGAATTAAAATCTAGAGTTTCACAAGTCTTGATAACGTAAATAAAATTTGCAAGTAAGTTGTCTGTGTGCGAAAGTTAAAGATAACAGTGACAAAGCAAAGTTTCTTCTTCATACGCACAAAAATAGAAACATCTTTCGCAAGCAGAAATACTTTTAAAGGGTGAATGCGTAATTGGTGTTCAGGTTCAAACGGATACGTTTCACAGGTCGAAAATTAGCGATATCCGTTAGCCATAATATGCATTTTAATAAATATTATATGAAAGTGACCGTTAATTAGACAGAGTCCTATTCCCCTTTAGTGAAATACCTAGTATTACTTGTAATGTGAGTAATTTTTGGAATGCCATGGGTTGCGAACCTGAGTAAAGTGTTCGGCCCACTATACTGTACTTGACGTTAGCCACGCTCCATCTATGTTCCAGAGATATATCAAGTATGAGGTATTGTGCGTCTCCAAATGGGACTTCAAGAGAAGTGCCAGCGGGGTAAGAAGAATTACAGCCTCGCTGGTTAAAAACTTCGTAGCCATCTGGTCTAAGTAGCTTAACGTGTTCACTAAATGAAAAAAAAAAAAAAAAAAAAAAAAAGAAAAGAAAAGGAAATATGAGCCTTAAAATTGGTATCACAGAGAGCACATATTCCTATTGCTGGTTTTCAGTGTCACGCCATTCAAAATACATCAAAGTAAAAATCAAACCCATTCGACAGATAAAGTCCAGAATCTGGGAAATGAAAGGAGGTAACTATACAAAGACCCTCACCAAGATTTGGGTCGAAGGAATAATTAGTATACGAGATATCCGAGGAAATGTTTTTCCCAAATTTATAGAGCTTTGCATGGAGACGCCATGCTGGAGCTCATCTGGATGAGCTCCAACATGGACGACGGAAACCATCAGAAACATCTGTTACCGAGTTTTGCTACAAAAGCGTGAATTTTCTCCTAGAGGAACTGGTAATCATTAAAGTAATACTTTTTCTAATACTTGAACTGTTTAGATAGCAAAATTCCTCGAAAAAAAGTCACTTTTTTAACCTAAATGACAGCTCTCTCGGCCGTCATGTAAATGCTGCGTCACGCAAAAGCTTAGGAGTTCAAGCGTACTCTATTACCAAACCAAGAACCCTTTTGAACCGAAAGTTTGTTTGAAAATTAGTTTTGGGCTGCTCTAATACACCATGAAAGTAAAATCTCAGTAGGATCGATAGTTTTGTAGTTTGAATTTTAGTGATGTCATGTGAAAACCAACAATTTGCACTGATATTGGCCATAACCTGCTAAGAAATTAACGATATATGACCTTAAATGAGCAAAGAGGAAGAAAGTCAAGAGGAAACGGTTACTCGTAACTTGTCCATTTGGTTCAGGATTCAGGCAAAAAAAAAAATTCTAAGGAAACATTCCGATCTGTAACTCACCTGTGATGAGTTCTTGTTATCGTCTCTGCCATCGCTTTCTTAACGCCATCGTTATCGTTATCGTTAACGTTTACGTAAAAGTCATCATCATCGTCATGGTCATCATTATCATTATCTTAGTATTTTCACTATTATCATCGTTATCATTATGTTATCATTATCATTATATCAATATTATTATCATTATTTTTTTAGTTATTATTATTATTATTATTATTATTATTATCATTTTTATTATCATTTTTATTATCAGCTTTCACTAAAGGATTTAAATCCAAATTCACGTATTACCTGCGCACCATCGAATCGTTTGAAGAGTATGTAGACCCCACCGAAGAAGTGATTCACACGTCCTTTCTTTCTTCATTATTTGGACGAGCGGAACCTCTTCCTGAAGAACTTATGGAACTTGTCAGTCTATCACCTGCGCAGGGCGGGATTAGGATTCCCGATCTTAAGCGCGAAAGTTTGGAGCAGTTCAATGCCTCGCTTAATATGACAGCACCACACGTCGATTCTATTGTTACTCAAAGCTCCACCATTCCAGTACTTGAGTTGATGGAGGAAAGGAAGTGTGAAATCAATGCTAAAAGGAGAGCCGCTGCAAAGACCCGGATTGACAGGATTGACGAATCGTTGTCTCCTGATCTACTCCAAGCGCTGCAGCAGACAAGGGACAAGGGAGCCAGCTCGAGGCTTAACGCTATTGCAATCGAAGAACACGGACTGGCTTTGAACAAGCAGTAGTTTAGGGACTCCCTTTGCCTTCGCTACAACCTCCCTCTGCCTAATCTCCCTAGTTACTGTGCTAGGGGAGAAATATTTACTGTCAACCATGCGTTGTCATGTAAGAAGGGAGGTTTTACAGCTCAGAGACATGATACAATCCGAGATCTTCTGACATCACATATCAGTAAAGTGTGAAGAAATGTGGAGACAGAGCCACTCCGGCAACCACACGACAAAGACGTATTCAACCTTCAGTCCACTGTTACAGATCGAGAAGCGAGGCTGGATATGAAAGCAGGAGGTTTTTGGACACCAGGAGTAACGGCATTCTTTGACGTACGTGTAACGCATGTTAACTCCCGGTCCAACCAGGGCAAGTACACAGCTACGATCTTCAAAGAGAGAGAAAGCGAGAAGAAGAGGAAATACAACCAGAGAGTGATGGATGTAGAGATGGGAACTTTTACACCACTGGTGTTTGGTACAAACGGGGGCATGGGACTCGACTGTCAGAACTTTTTAAGAACTCTCGCAAATAAGCTTTCGACTGAAAACAATGAACCCTGTGCCAGCGTTAAGTGTTATTTCCTGGCTTCGAATACAGCTCTCATTTGCTATATTAAGAACTGTACACAGATGCGTCAGAGGTTCTAGATATCCATTCAAGTCACTTGAGGTCTCAGAAGACTTCACTTTCGCAGTAGCTGGTCTACATCTGCACTCATAATTTTAGGCCTAGATTTTTGATAGTTTTTTCTTAGTAATGCTTGATTTTTCTTTTCCCACTTTTAAATTATTCTCAATTGTAAGTTGTTTTCTATCGTGGAAATATATTTAGTTTTTAATTTGTAAACAATACGACATAATTTGAAATTGTAAATATTCCTTATTGTTCTGATACTTAAATAAAGATTGGTTTTATTATAGTTTCATTTTCTTCTTATTACTATTATTATTATTATTATCATTATTATTGCAATATAACATGTTTAAATTACAAACTAAGCCCACGACACAACACGAACATACAATAAAACAGTATTGAGAAAGTAGAGCGCAACATTTTCTTCAAATAGATCTAGCGTACGTAAATGGAAGGACAAATTCGAATAATTTTATTGACCAAGACATGGCGCTTGTTTTCATTTATTTTTCAGAGGACGTAACTCTTTCAGACCGCTGTATATGATAACAAGAAAAATGCACAACACTCTCAGGGCCTTTGCAGAATAACTTTAAGTTAGGCTAGTGGTTCTATCAGTGAAGACCTATGTTTGAGCAACTCAAAGCCTTTTATTACCTGCAATTACTTTCCAAACCAAAAAGTGCAACTGCATCCCTCACTCCAGCCTTGCCGATTTTCCAGACGCAGTGCACGTCGGCTTGGTCTCCACCAATAGCTTTGTACAACACCCCGGACGTTTTATTCAAGGCACCACCACAGCCTAAAAAACATAGAATGCTGTAGTCAAATCTCTTTAGTACGGACACCGAAGCAACAGAGCGAAGTGTCCGTATTGGAGAGGTGTCAGTATAAAGGAGGTCAATGTGATGACGTAACTTTTATTACTCCACTTACAGTTTTAAGTGTTCATTAGCTAAAACCAGGCTAACGCTCGTCTTTTGTACATCTCAGCTACAGAAAAATAACTGTTTTAAAACGAAACGAGCTACAGCGCAAGCTGCACATAAAGAGTTGAAAGCGTCTTTCGCTATTTTGCAAATGCAGTACACAGTAACCAGAGTAAAAATGTAATACAAAAGATCTTTATTCTATCTATAGTTATTGAAGCCTTCAAAAAGTCGGTTCCGTTCCTCTGTAAACCTTTCGGAAAATCGTTGCTTGGTATACAGCGACTGGGCTTTATAACAACTTGCTACGACCAGTTGCAAAAATACTGAGACACTCCCAGGAAAAAACGACCTTTCTTGCTTCAAATCGCTCCGGGTGACAGGTCTGTGAGATATAATACTGACCTCCCTCCTCCCTCCCATTCAAAGTTGTTCCTCGAAGTTTTGAGCATGGGCTTGTACTGCTAGCAACTTCGCTAAAGGGTGAATGGGGAATCACAAACAAAAGATCATGGACAGGCCATTTATGCCATAATACGGTGCAGTGTCTCAAGTACTTCTGCAACTAGTTGTCTCATTTAAGGTGTACTTCAAAGAGCGATTTCCACGTCTTAAATTCCCAAAACGAAGACTGTAGCGACATAAATAAATAGAATGGCACTTTCTGTTGCTTTTCCCAGCCGATACATCATTGTAATTTATAGAAAACTGCCTAAAAAAGCACTTAAGAATGTAGTGACTTTTAAATGTTGCCTCAGTTTTGATGTAACGCATGCACCGTTATCTACCGTGACATGGCTTAAAGTTTCGGCGTTGTCATTAAACTCTGAGAAGTAGGAATGCATAATCACAGCATAATTTTCCTTTTCTTAGTATTTAGAGATATTATACTTGTAGTTGCAAATAAAGCTGCCAAACATTCACTTTCACCCCTGTATCTGTAACGCAATGACATTTGATATGCAATGGCGTTATCGCTGTTTTAAGTAAAACCGTTCAGTTTTTTCTTTTTTTATCTGTATGGTGAAAATAGGATGGTTATTAAAGTCCTTTAGAGCTAGAGAGCAGAAAAAGTTGTATGCTACATTAGTTTCTATTTTCTGATGGTCTACCGTCAATCCACGGTCTACAATTCTGGAACAGTAAGAAATACAGTATATTATTATATTTATCTCATATGGTGATAGACCGTGTAGACCGTGTAGACCGTTGAAGCACGTAAATTCCTGACATTGCCGTGCTGGAAAATTGCTATTCTTAGGGACAGTGCCTTCCTTTTTGCAAAGAAATAAATTTCGTTACCAAGCACAGATAACAAAGCCACGTTATATGTGAGCTCTCGCGAGTATGTTACTGAAATACGCGCGTGAATTTTCACGTTATCTGATGACTAGCCACACTCGGGCTTCAAAATCGAAACAAAGTTGTAAGACGACAAACAGTAAACACAAATCCAAACTTGTCTTAAGTAAAGTAAAATCGAAAACAGCTGCTTTTTAGCGTAACTTTTCTTTCCTGTAAATGGCAGGCGATAAAAGAGGAACCATGGACACTGTTTGCTTTTAATGCTTTACAACTGCTATTTTTTCACAAAGAATGACCCACTGTCAGTTTCCACATATAACTAACAAAAAATCAACAAACGCAGTCATCTATGAGCCTCAAAGACCAACGAAGCCTCTTGATTTCAGGCATTGAGTAGAATAAAGTCAGTGCCAGTCTCTGTAATAGTGACCAGTGATCACCTTAACAAAACTCTGTGGGCTCAATTAAACTGTCTTTGAAGTTACAATCTTAAAAATTGCCTTGCTGGTGTCTAGTAAAATACGATAATGTTATGGTTCTACAGCCAATTATCAATGTAGCAACTTCAACATTATAACATCACACTTGAACGTGAATATAATTGTTCCTAAATTTGACACCAGACTAAACCGTTGCATGATAATTTTTAGATGCCGGTACATAGTCTTTATATTGATACAAAAAAAAGCTATGTAAATGATTTAAGTCCTTCTCATTCTATCATGCCTGAGTTGTACTCAGATTTCATGTCTAAGCAATGGCGTGGTCTTGGTGTGCTCAAGGTATCTTCAGTTCAATCAATTTTCCGTACCTTTGAGCTTGTCCAACATGAACAACGTCCACAACACGTTTTTCTTAGCACCTTTGATTCATAATGTAGTCCAGCATTTTCTTTCACAACTTGAAGAAACAATGTTAAGTTTACCTCTTGCATTTAACACTTCAAATGGGTTAGAATATTTGAATCAACGCTGAAAATAACAGCTCTTTCGACCCAAACGCCGAGGCACGTTCTCGATTAGCCGCCATGTTTGTTGTTCCCAGGCTTGCACGTGACTTTCGCACATGCGCGATTTGATTTGTTGTGTCGCGTGCGGCTTTTGAACCAATAGACAAGTGTGAAATGAACTTCCGTTGAATCACAGGTAGCCCAAGCTCGAAATATGAGCATCGGCCTATCGTTTCTGTAACCCAGGAAAATGAAAGGATTTCAATTAAAAAAACAGCTTACCTTCCCTAGTGTTACGTCTCTCCTGTGTGGTCCACGGGCCGATTTATGGCCGTTTTATGGGTTTTTACGTAAACAGTTTCATAGAAAAAAGTACTCCTTTTTATGACAGGTATTATTTGTGTATAACAGTTTGAGACAATTATTTCTACCCGCCGAAAGAAAGAAAGTTTTATATGTCATCATGATCATGGCCAGCCGTCATTAACGTAATGATTCTTAGTAAATTATATGATGGAATTAGGCAAGGCTTCTTCAAGTGTATATAAGAATTTTATTTTTAAAAATGTTCCAGTTGTAAAGATATTGCAGTGAAAAAAGCTGCTTACCTACTCAATTTTTTTTAAAAACTTATTCCATTAATGTTTGATATCAGATTTATACAGTTGTGAGGTAGAAAGAAAGCAAAAATATTGAATTGAGTTGTTCTCGGAAGAGGCTTAATAGGGCATTTTTATAATTAAAATCCTTATTTGAAGATATTGCAGATTTTGGAGATTCCGGAAATTATTAGATTCTAAAGTTGAATATAACCTGTTCAGAAAAAAACAGCTACATATTTTTAATATTAACTTTTTCATGTGAACAGTGTTCTATTACTATTATTACATATAGTGGCAAGTCTGAATATGAAATGATACCGGAAAAAATAGTGTCTATTTAATGCCATGGAAAGGGTGGAATAAAGTCAATACATGTACATTGCTTTTTGTAGTTCAGTATACGTTCCAACCCATTTAGTTAGTGTTTTCATCATTAATTTTCCATTAGTGAGCTTGAATTAATTTGATTTGGGGACCAGAACAGAATGGCTAACAGTCAAGTACTTTTAATGTAGTTTTCATGGTTCATGATATATTTTGTTTACGCCATGAAAATAGTGAAAGGCCATTGAATTATTAATTTTCATGGGCCTTCAAAAAGCCATCAAAAAACCATGAACATTTTTCATGATCTATTAATGTTTCAATATTAATGGAATAACCATGGTTTTTTCATGTTCCATGAATTCAGTGTCCTCATGAAAAAACCATGAACTATACAACACCATGAGAATCCTTCTTTGTAATTCACGGCATTTTCAGAGCCATTAAAAGGCCATGACAAGCAATCCAAAATTTTCATGGTGTTTTCATGAGTATTTCATGGATTTGCCCCAAACTTAAGGGTTTCATGGCCCATGAAAACTGAAAGATTAAGGGGTTTTAAATGGCTTTTCTTATGTTTTTTTTTCATGCTTTTTCCAGGGTGACATGCCATGAAAAATCTTTCAAGATTTCCCATGAAAATACCATTAAAATCTTTTAAAATCCCGTGAATTTACCATGAATTAATTCACCGGATTTTCATGGGTTTTTAGTTCATAGTGTATGAAGGACTCAGACGTAGCTCATCAGCCAGACTGGACGGGATTCACCCTGTGGAGATTCACCCGATCGGGAATCGGGATTCACCTGATCACCGCAGTGTCTATAATAAAGAGGTTAACTTTACATGAATTTACTCTCTGGGGCCGAGATTTAGTGTCTGTTGTCCGTATTAGAGAGAGTCCGTATTAATAGAGTTTTTTTGTTTGTTTGTTTGTTTTTGTTTTTTTTTAAGAAAATATATGAGACTTTTGTCAGGACATTGGAAACTGTCCGTAATAGAGAGGTGTTCGTACCAAGAGGTTCGACTGCATCATGAAAGTGTTTCTTTCAACTAAGCGACGGTTGACATACTTGATTTGAAACTGTGTCGCGTTCTAGCAAAGTTTATGAAAGGAATTTTTAAGACCAGTTGAGAAATCATGGTATATCTTGCTCGATACAAGACAAGTTTATCAACTATGGGCAAGGAAACGGCAACCGTCCAATAAAGTGTTCAATTCAAGAATAAAACTATGTGGAGTAAGATTAAAAGGAGAAAATGTTAAGTTAAGTTGCCAAGCAAGACATTAACGCTAAACAACGAGGCAGCAAATGTATCCCTTCACTAGATTAAACTATACCCAGAGAAAAATTATAACCACAGTTTCTTTACGTCTGACAAATTATTTTGACTTCTCACCTGGACAGTTTCCATCTACTATTGACACATCATCGATTGCGATGTCACTTTGAATGGAGGGTCCTCTTATTCCTTCAAACGTCACCTGTAAGGATGCAGTGCCAATAAACTTTTTTTTTTTGGATAATGGCAAATAAACAACAGAGGCCCCACAATCAACTTTATATTAAACCATTTATACGGGGGAAGTAAAGGGTTGTGGGAGTCCAGGAGAAAAGTAAAGAGAGAGGTGAGAGAGGGAAGGGCGGGAGGAAGGAACTCTTAATGGGTGGGAAGCGAGAGAAATCGGGGAAAATACGCAACAATGCTCAATATTTCGCAATCGCAAAAGCCCTAGGGGTAAGAAATGAAGGTAAAGGAAAGGGAGTCAGGAGTGCAAGGTGTGAAGGGCGGGAGGTTTGGACCCCTGCACCACCTTCCCCACATGTCCCCCCCTCCGCTAACGAAACCATAGATAATCCACAGTCGATTCATGTTCATGTATTGGTGGACGTCAAGGGGAAAATGGGCGGGAGGGGTACGCGAGGCGGGAGAGGAGAGAGCGGAAGGAGAAGAGAGAGAAATGGGGGGAAATTACGCAACAATGGTCAGTATTTTGTAATCGAAAAAAAAAAGGGATAAAGTCAAGAAAAGAGGGGGCGGGTTCCGGGATTGCAAGGTACGGGAGGCAGGAGTACCCCCCCGGCGCCCCCTCTCCCCCATTACTGTATAATGTTGATCGCTATTTAGTATCATAACTAGTTTTCAACTTGATCCGTTTACACATTTACCACGTCACTGAGGTATACTGTCCGCTTGACTCTTTTCCAGTAGTTCCCCTGATTTCCAGACTTGGTGAAAATTTTATTATTTCCACTGAAAACATTTAGAGTACCCATTGTTGATCCATACATGTGATAGAAGAATTTTAAGCAACATGATGATTTATTTCTTGGCACCGTAAAGGTCAGTTTTGCATTATCACCGGTTGCCTGATTTGAAGCTTCAATATAGAAATATTTTCCTGTAACGAAAAAAAACATATGATAATGTGATAATTATAATAATTATAATAGATTAATAAATAACACGGTTTCCATCAATTCCATCCATTGTACAAAAATAGAAAGGGGTCTTAAAGGGCAGTGTTTAAAGACTATGCCCTATAAAAAGGACAGCAGTATTTAAAGCCAAATTATTGAAAAGGTTACTACTTCTATCTCGTCTATAATATTCTCATCAATGTTCTCTTCGGGTGGGGGTGGCCCAATGAAGAAGCACGAAGAAGCCAAACCTAAAGAAAAAAACACAAAACAGAACAAAACAAAACAATATCGTGTTCATTTCATCGGCTTCCCAGTCTTCTTGTCATTAGCACTGAACTTAAGCAATGACCCCTGAAGACGGCAATGAGTAAGGTAGAAAAGCAATGGGCTTAGAAAAACAAGAACTTTACGCGTACATAATGCTTTTTTGTACATTTCTTTACCGTCGATGCACGACTACGTGACAGTGCCTAACTTCACGTTTTACTGAGAACGGGAACACAAGACAGCATCTTTCTTTTTCTTTTCCTGAATCAAAGGCTTTGATACATTCCTTAAGAATTCGACTCCAAAAAATTGCCAACGTTTGACGAATTAAACGAGATGGAGGAAGCATAATAAAGTTTGAGGCAGCGCAAATTCAATTTTTAAGTCAATGTAACGTTTTCGTAAACGTCGCCGTCGTTGTTGCTTTCGCTCCTTCTTCGCTTTGTGAATTGAGGGGGTTGCTGAATATACTTAAATACATTAGGAGACTGTTAAGGGGTAAATTTCAAATGGCATCAAACCTGATCCACTTGTATGATCCGAGAGTGGCCCAGTACCAGACGAAGGAGTGGAACCAGAGTACAACGTCCAGTCAAATACATCCTCCCTCGACTGGCTACATCCGAAGCATAATCCATTATCAAAGTTACAGGATACTAAGGGAGAATCGCGTAAATAAAGCAGGTGTCATTTTACTTGAATGATGAATACAGATGAATGGTATAAATGGCAAGACGATTTACACCACAGTGGTAAACAAAACCACGAAGATTGAGTAGAAGAGCTGAAGAGTGTGTGGTTAAAATGAGAATATTCGCCGTATAAGCAGGATTACTTGTGCAAGTTCTAGCTGGAAAACATTTTGCCGCGAAGGGAAACGCCAGCGCGCGAGAAAAAATGTAAGCTAAAAATATACATCTCAGTTATTTTTACCTTTACAGCCTCCACTGTTTATTTCTACACTATCAATCGCGATATCACCGGTAAATGACTTTCCTGCAATCCCCTCAAATATTACCTGCGAAAAGGGTTAATTTTAGTAAGCAATACACCTATCGCTTTCTATCTACTTATTGGGGTAATAAACCAAGCTTTCACTTCCCTTTTCTTCCCACCATCTCACGACGATTACCTCGCTAGTTGGCAGTTAGTAAGTGCGAAGTAATTGGCAAAGCTTCGTTATTGTCGGGTGGTCAATCATCAAGAAGAATTTTTTTGCTATTGATATATTTATGCAGTGATTTATGATAATGATGATGATGTTGATAATAATGGTGACGACGATGATGATCATGATGATGATGGTGATGGTGATGATGATGATGATGATGATGATGATGATGATGGTGATGATGATTATTACTATTATTATCATCGTTATTATTGTATGTTTTCACCATGAGGGGGAAGGGAGGTTATGCATGTATAAGGTGGGTCAAAAGATTTCAAACTAAAAGTGAGGAATAGTTAGTTCAGACGATTAATTCGACTTAACTAAGAACACGCTAGAGAGAATTTTTTTGTCTCTCACCACTCCATTCAGAATTATGTTTCTTTCCACCATAATCCAGTTAGTACTCTGATGTCCTGAAATATTAAAGACTTTGCTGTTTCCGCTGAAGACGTTGAGAGTTCCAACTGTAGCGCCATACATATGATAGTAAAATGAAAGGCACGACATTTCTCCGTTGTTTGGAACAGTAAGAATAAGCTTGGCTTTGTCGCCGGGTCTTCTTGGGGAGGACGTTTCAATGTACATATATTTTCCTTTAAGAAAAAGAGGAGAAGGGAAATATTACTCAAAAAAAGGACGACTGGACAGCTGGATGTGCATCCATGTAATAACCTCTTTTATTGTTTTTAAAGTGTATAATGACTCTTACCTAGATTAGCTTTATAGCTATTTGTTTCTATGTTATACCTTAAGTATCTTACATACTCAGTAGTAACGTCGTGTTGTTTTGTTTTGTTTTGTCTTTGTTTTTTGTATGTGGTGTAAAAATAAAGTTTTAGCCTTGTCTTGTGCTATGAACCTCAAGTGAGGGATTTGTTGTGGTTTTGATGTTTATGCTTTTGATTGTTTACATGTGGTTGTTGCATCTTTTAAAAGAAATGTCAACAAAAAAGTTGTCTTCGGTTCTTTTCGTTAAGAGCCAGCTTTGACTAAAAAAACGCATAATAAAAATCCACATATAATGTAAAATACTTCATAACTAATGAGGTTTAATCATCATATGTATGTATAACACAGATTAAATACACTTCACTAGAATGGCTACGGGCACTTAATTGAATTTAGTTACAAATAAGTAGAGACTTTAACTGCATACGTGCAACATAGTTACATTAAATTTTACTTCATTGAAATAACTACGGGAACTCATAGTTAATTTAAGCAGTATTTCTTCTGCAGTGAGGAGGAAATGGGGACTGAAATGAAACATAATAACTAAACCTGACCTGATCCCCCTTGACCAGAAGACGGGCCTGTATACGCGGATGGTGTTGAACCAGACGAAAGTGTCCAATCAAAATCATCTGAAGAAGATTGATTCCATCCGGAGCATAATCCATTGTCAAAGGAGCACCATACTAAACACGTTAAATAAATGATAAACAAACAAACATTTTCATTTTTCCTCCAAACATCAACTTCCTGGTTAAGACTAATAAACAAATTTATTTTTCATTTATTCAAAATAATAAAAATGAATATTTAACCAGGGGCATCTAATTTAGCAGAGCTCCTTTAAATGAAGTCCTGACACAACCAAAACTTAACAATTAATGAAATCAATGAGGCTGAGGATCTTATGAAAAATAATTCTCCATAATTCTTCATATGATACGAAAGCCGAATTCAATAATTGTTTTATTATTCATTCAAAATAATTCCTACTTTAAAAACATAGCTAAAACATGCTTGCTATATACCTCCATCGATCCATCGATGTTAAGCTCATCTTCGATAGTGTACATTTAGGTTTGTCCAGCTGCGCAAATATTCTCAAAATAGCAGATGTCGCACTCCGAGTTGTCTTCTTGCTGTTTTTGATATGATTTTTAGCCATTACTTAGCCTAGTTCAAGCTCTAGTTCTTACTCTTGAAACGAGTGAGGTGTCAGCCATTTTGTTTTCCCAATCAAAACAACTCAACCTCGTCCCCAGGTCTTCTCGGTTAACGGTTCATTAACCCGTAGAAGGCTGCATTTTTGACATCATTTCCTCGTTAAACGCAAAATTCTTCCCAATTGGGTCATGGCTAACTGGTTATGATGAATTATGCGTGTGCTTTTAGCCAACCAGAATTGGCGAAATATTTTGAATGAGTAATAAAACGATATTAAAATTAAACATTAAAGAGACTACACAATCAGCTGAGTTATCAAGGCAACATGTACAGCATGTACAGTGTACAGGTATTATTGTCTAAGATGGCGTTTGAGCTTAATCTTAAATTCAATGAGCGTCGCTTTGGAACGTGGCAGTTTTCGCCAGGAGGACCCAGAAAATCATGGCTGCTGCTGTTGCAGCCATGAACTTGCTGCGCGTACCTAACCTCCGAATGTAAGTACAATGACGTCATTCCATGAAGACATTTAAAGACTAAGACGCACACAGCCCTGAAAAATGGACACTCAATAATACAGGCGGCACGTCTGTTTAGCTTATCTAGATAAGATTTGCTCCCATTTCCACGACTGTCCCAGAAAAACGAACAGTGTTGGAACAATAACAGTACTAAATAAATGCAGTAGGACTGACAATGCGACGACTACGTAGTCAGTGACCTAAACCCAGTAAATAGACGTTGGCTAGATGGTGAGAGTAAGGGAACCTTTTTCTCAGTTTGTAAGACAGGGGTTTAAGAAACAATTATAAAAGCTGTTTAGTGTACTTACCTAACGCGGACACTGATTGATTTTGTGGTAAAACAGCAGGCGGTATTGCTTGATAAATATGGTTTGTTAACCATTGTTTCAGATCTCTAACGTTAACATTTACTCCATACTTAGAAGCATACGCACATCTGTAACCCCAACTAGTTACGCCTTCAAGAAACCATGTACCGTTAAACTCACACACCAATGGACCACCACTATCGCCTTGACAAGTGTCAACTCCTCCTGTATCGAGGCCAGCACAGAGCATCGAATCATCAATCTTTCCAGGGTAGAAATTCACACAACGCCTCTTGGAGACCAATGGAATCTGAGCTTCCATAAGTGTATTTGGCTGGGACCCCCCTGAAGACAGTGTACTCCAGCCTGTAATCCAGCACTTTCTGTTCAAATTGTCAAAAGGGAGAGGGTGTTGCATATCAGGCAGGCAAACAAGCCCGATGCCCACCCCAAGATTTGCAGGTTTTAAGAGCTTAATCAGGGCGATATCATTGCTATAGTTCAATGGGTTATTATAGTTTTCATGCCTGATGATCTGTGCGACCTTAATTTCCTGTTCTGTCCCAACACTGAAGGTTGTTCTATAGTGGGCTCCCAACCTAAACAAATAATAAATATTAAGTAAATAAATAATAATAAATACGACAGAAGACAGAAGTGCAAGCAATACAACCTCGTTCTCAGGCTCCCCCGGTCCTCTCTTTCATACCTCAGGGGACGAGGAATAGGGGACGCTGGGAACGAGGTTGTATAAAAATATTGTTTTTAAAAAAGTATATGGTCTAGAATTACTCAGATTCTGACGATAGAGTGATAATGATGACGATTATAGTAACAACAACAAGGCAATTATGAACAAACTTAATGATCATCCTTCCCAGGACCAATGTGATCGTAGTTGTGAATTTAAAGGAGACGTTAAGTAGCCAGAGTAACTAAATGATGCACGCTGTTGAGACCTAAAATGTAATAAAGGTTCTAAGCCTAAATGTAAGAAAGGCACTAAATGTAAGAAATTTTGGACCTAAATGAAATAAAGGTCCCAAACGTATAGAAACTTGGTTAATATGGAAACTAGGCTTGTGTGTGCAAAATACACCTCAAATGGAGAGATGTACATGTACTTTAGTACTTTTTCTTAGTTCCTGGTGTAAAAATCCTCTGGTTTTCAGCCAGTGCTTTTATCCTAATAAGGACTTTTCTTCTGACCAGTTTTAAAGAATCATACTCCGTCTTGGAACTTAGAGCAAGAATTTACAGCGCAATGACTACTATTTCCCTTGACTAGAATGGGGATGGTATGGGCGGCTGTATACCAATTTTACTCGCAATTTAAGAAGACGTCCTTTCAGAGCTCCTTTAAATTCAGAACCCTGGTAACTTTGCAGAACAGGGGGGTCCATTTTCTATTTAACTTTTAACTCAGCCGCAACTGCTTTGCTATTTTTACATTAAACACTTTAAAGACAAATGAACCGTACTGAAAACATTCATAACGGAGAATATATATTGATAAACAGTCCTTGATCTGAAATTTAATCCTTCCACGCTTTCCAAGATCGATCCAACAGATCTACTTGGTGTCTGATTTACACAAAGTTTAGCGTTTCACACTACTTCTTCAGTGGTTAGTTTTCCTTCTTTTCTTAATATCAGGCTGGGATTTAACAAGGCCAGGCACCGTTGGGTTTGTTTAGAACTCTGATCTAAATATCAGAGAATTTTACCAAGACTATCATGATCATTTAAGGATTTGTTGTTTCCTGCTTTTCTTTTATAATTAATCCACCATGTTCACATTGCCCAGTTAAGTAATACTACATATTGTTTACCGAAAACGTTTTATGCCTCAGCCTTGTTTTTTCTTCAGATTTAGTAAAGGGAGCGACGGACCAAGGAAAAGAGAGACTGCTCGTGGTCTAGTCTTCGCAGCTGATAGTAAACAGTCATTGTTCCTCGATGCCCGACCCTTTGTCTCACTTCACCTCTCTAGATGCAGGCTCTCAAGCTGTGTTTCTGTTTAGAAGACCCAAAGGACCAAAAGAAGGGCCAACCCTCCAATACGTATGTAGAGAAATTTATATTTTCAAGTGAAAGGCCCAAAATTAATTCCTCGTGATATAAAAAAAAAGTGCAGTGGCTGTGGTCGAGTGGAAGAGTTGTCAGAGTTGTTAACGGTTTTACTACACCTTTAAGACGACACGAAATGGTGATTGAGAGTCTTAATTCTTCATCCTTCATCTGACTTGAATTTATCCTGGCAGAGTTGCGTTGCATAATTGAGTGGCATGGTCAAACCTCGTAGTTCATGTATTTCTTTATGTAGTAAAAGCTTAATAAATTTTTCCAAGAGATCATTCTCTCTTGATTTTGCACATTTATATGCTTAAGTTCTTATCTTCCAGTGATTTAATTTAAACTTTACTGTAGTTTCCAACAAACGAAGCTTAGGCAAATGAAAGGGTAATTTTTGTGTGTGTTTGGAATTCTCTTTTCGTGATAGCAGTTATTACACTGCCTTCAGATGGAGTCCTCATTCTAGTGTGCTTTTTTGCAAACAAAGAGGGAAAAATTATAAATTCCAAAAAACTGCACCACCCCTTGGAACAAGAGTATGGTTTTAAAGGGAACCTCCACTTCAACAAAAAGATAACTTTAAATCACAGGAAATAACTGTTACAGTCAAGTCAATCTAAAATATTTTTAAAAAAAGCGTTTGTATCCGAAAGAAATAACTTTTAGATTCGCCTATTTTTGTTTTCAAATTTTGCGGGCGTCGCCATCTTGAATAATTGTGAGGTGTTACGGTTGCCCTATTGTTACTAAACAAAAGCTCTTTGTGTCAGAACAATAGAGCAACCATAGCACGTCACAATTATTCAAGATGGCGGCGCCCGCGAAATTTGAAAGTGAAAATAAGCGATTTTAAAATTAACTTTTCCTGATACAAACACTTTCTTAGGGACAAATTTCCAACAAATTTGTTTATCAACATAATTTTATTCGATTTAATCTTATTCTGTAGTAAGAGTGGAGGTTCCCTTTAAAAAAGATTAGCGAAGTTCAGAAAATAAATGTTCAAGTTTGCATGTTTTGACGAGGACCATATCTGGCTAAATATGCTTTAAAGGAAATTTATAATACCAGGAAAATGGTGACATTTATCTTTTTGATTCTCTTTATAAACTTTGGAAAACATTCAATTTTCTTTTTTCTGTTTCTCGTACTTTAGTCCCTTGAGGGATTTTCTCAATGCATACCCCTCTCTAATGTAGTACTCACTCTTATTAGCAACTGGATTAGCCTCTTGTCCCCACACTAAATAATAATCATTTCAAGTATAATTCAGAACTAAAGGGTAATTTGTGTAGCAACAATTTCAAGGAAATACTTGAAACCGAAGTCACTATCTAATATAAACTACTAAATACGGTATTGCTGTTGGAAATATTTATTGATTATCAGTCCAATGATGTTCCACTGAAGGTTTTGAAGGTAATGAACCTTCAAAACCCCTCCCAGCCTTCTGGTAATAAAAATAGCTTATACTGACAGACCCAGTATATGTGAATCAAAGTGACTGGAAAATTTACCCTGGCTTTAACTCATCTGGCCCTGTATTCTGTATTTAAGCCCATAAATATTTGTTCTGGCTCCCAATGTACAAACAAACGTACGAGCAGCGCAGTAGAAAATTGGTTTAAAGAACATTTAAATGCTGAATGTTGCAAGACTCATACTTATGTAGTGTGCTCATAGCATATGTTTAGGATAAGGAAGAGAGTCGTAATGCCGCTGCAAGTGGAAAAAAAATAAGAGATGGAGCAGGCTGGTCACTCGTAAAATTCACGGAGCTTATAAATAACTGAACTTGCCGAGATGCTGAATCACGAAAAGTAAAGTCACCCATGACTGTCCAAAAATTCCATTAAAAAAGTTCATGAAAACCTTTTCTTGATATTTGGACGCGGGAAAACTTAAAACCGAGGAAAAAGTCACCGTCCTTCCATGTCTGCATTCTGCGCCATATTTTTTTTTTTTTAAGGAAATTGGTACTCAGTCTCACTCGGCCAAATTTCTTAACTGGGGTGATCATGTAAATTTGGTTCCAGACCTCGCTGCCAGCCCGCCCTGCACTTCAATATGGCGTAGAAAGTAAATCGCCTGGCTATGACATTTAAGTCAATGCGACTTTATCAAGGTTACGGCCAATAGTTATTCTACTCTCTTACTACTTTATTACACTTAGAACCTATATTGCATTTAGGGCCAAACTTTGGACGCTTTCCATCCAACAAAAGTTCCGGTTTGAAATTTCGGAAACTTCCCGTGCTCAATGGAACGATACTTTCCGATAGCACAGACCCGACCCAAGCTACCGGCCGTTTTGTTATTGTGGCTTTGCAGCACACTCATAATTACGCTCTAAAAGTGAAAAGTAAATACTGTTTATATCCTAAAGAACACTCGACTGTCGAAAAGGGGCGGTGGAAAACTAAAGGCGGAGGAATACTTTCGTGTAGAAAGCCTATGAATGCAAGTGAAGGTAAAAAATTCTTGTAAATTGAAGCGATACGTTTCTCAGAATATTCGACCGATTCGAAGCAATTCCTGGAACCGTAAGGTAAATAAATTCGGTGTTTGGCCAATTTGTTTTCAGCCAGGCTTTGTTGTATTCATTTCCGCTTAATTGATAAATTGCTTTAGTTAAATATCGTCGACAGGTTTCAGACAAGTAATACGTTGATTCTCACGGACTTTTATACAATTGTAGCTTGCTGATTACACATACTCTTTTTGTCACCTACGTGTCGTGTTGCGTCAGTTATTTGACAATGTTAATGGCAAATATCAAAAATCGAAAAAAACTGCAACTGATTCAAACTATTTGAGATTTCATGCTTTACTCTCAGCACTTCACTTTCCACTGGAAACTAGTTGTTCTTGTAAGCGGGATAGAAAAGAACGGTACTGGGGACAACAATTTTGGCAAATGGAAAGGGACATTTCGGTCCGACCGACCGAAATGACCAGACCGGTCACAGTTTACCACCTTCAAAGCTGGTCCCGAATATTCCGGTCGGACCAAACCGAAATGGTCCGTTCCATTTGATGAACCAACCGAAATTTCCGGACTTTTGGGTTGAATGGAAAGCGCTCTTTATTACACTAGAAACTTTATTACATTTAGGGTCATTTATGACATTTGAGGCCTCAATTCAACAACGCACGGTAGCACAACTCATAGTTCAAAATGTGGCATACTGCTGCTGTCGCGATTGAAATCACTTATAACTTAAGACAATACAAAGAGAGCTCGATAAAATTCAGGCAATCACTGCGCCCAAAGCTTCTCCCTAGATTTTCCTAAGTGGGGAATTTCTTCTGGTTTTGAAAAAGTTAAAGCGTAACTTACTTTACTTTGATGGAAGACGGCGATTTCCCTCTGACACAATGTGCAGCGGTCACCACCCAATAAGGGTCTACTAACGATCCGCCGCAAAACAACCGGCTTCCAGAAGTTCTGATCAACATCACCTGCCACGGCCAGCTATTCACTCTTGCAACTGAACCACCAACAATTTGACTACTAGCGCTTGGTCGAGAGCCACAAAATACTTTATATAATAGAAAAATAAAAGAAACTATCAGAAAAAGGCGAAAGCGTTTGTCTGATTGGGTCAGATATTTTGTTTTAAAAACAAAACAAAACAAAAACTAGGTTATGACCGTGTATTATTTAGCAGTGAAAGAGCGAGATATAAGCTCAGGTATGGAACTAGGGCTACAATCACGAAACAAGACGTAAGGCTACAAGCAGGTAGTCTAAACCTTCAAGGCACTTTCATTGATGCTGAAGTACTAACTTTTCAATAATCTGAACGCGCCTTCCCTTTTCTTCGAAGGAATCATAATCTTATCAAACAAAACTTTCTGCATTCGAGACCGTGAAGTATGGCCTGGATTAAATTAGAGGTAAGCTGGTGCCGTTTAACAAAACCCACATAAACAGAAAGCAATGCAAAATGTATAGTTTACCATCAGTGGTTGAAGCCAGACTTTCACTGGTTTTGTAGGCTTGTCCAGTCTCGTCAATTCCATACACGCAAAATCGGTACATCGTGGAAGGTCTCAGCCCGGTGATATCTTCAGTTGTCGCACTTGCTGGAAAAGTTTCCGCAGCCAGTACATATCCCGCTGGAGTTTTAAGAACAATCAAATAAAAACTGGCAGTCCGGTCAATGTACGTGTGGAGTGCAGACAACTGAATAGTAAAACCAAAATGACTGGACATCAAAACAGTCACATTCCATCCTGAAAGCGGTAAAGCTGAAAAAGAAAATATAATAATAATAATAATAATAATAATAATAATAATAATAATAATAACAAAAAGTGGCAAGGAAAGTTATTCCGTATCAGATGGGAAGATGAGAGCCTAGGTATAGCCAGTTGCTTTGCATGGTTAAAAGGTTGGGCTACATGCCCTACACATACCATCGCGGGCATGTATGAACTGTATGAGCAGTTGTTACCTACGAAGCTCTACACAAAGGAGAAGACGCAAACCTCCACCGACGGCGAAGTTCTATGCAGGTTATGTGGGAAGGTAGCTGAGAGCGTTGCACATGTACTGGCTGGATGTTCCTCCCTGGCACAAACCAAGTACCTATACAGGCATAATGCAGCTTTGAAGATTCTGTTTTTTGAGCTCCTGCGAGAGCATGGGTTAATGGAAGAGGTTCCACCATGGTACTCACCGGTGATGCCAAAACCAGCCTACCAGAACACCACGAGTGAGGCGTTTTGGGATATTCCCATCTATGCAGAGCACAACGAAGTTAGAGCAAATCGGATCGACGCGCGACTTGTCAACCACGAGAGGAAAGAAGTCTGCACAATTGAAATGAGCTGCCCATGGATTGAGATTAGAGCTAAGAAAGATGAGGAAAAGACACTCCAGTATGGGCCCATGATGTGGGAGCTGAAGCAGAGATACAATGGTTACAGGGTTGAACAGTACAACGTAATAATTGACGTACTGGGGGGTTACTCTAAACACCTAGAGAAGTCGGTGAGGAAGCTACTTGGAGCGAGAGCACGGAGCGTACTTGAGCGAATGCAGAAGTCGCTCATCTCAAACACTTTAAACATTGCCAGAACATTTAAGATAAATACTTAGTTAGGGCGCTATGGACTTCAGTTTTTAGGTTTTTGTTTTTTCTCTAGAAATCTAGAAACACAAGCTTGCTGACGTTTTTACTTAGATTTTTTACAACATTAGAGTGTGATATTATTATAAATATGTTTTTAGTAGAGATAGCGAAGGTTTTACAGAGTATCAGAATTTAATAATATTCTAAATTGACTTTTTAAGTAGAGAGATTTATATCACTATGTATAAGCTTTTAGTAGAGATAGCGAAGGTTTTACAGAGTATCAGAATTTAATAATATTCTAAATTAGCTTTTTAAGTAGAGAGATTCTTATCACTATGTATTTTAGGATTGTATTAGGTTTCGTATCGACCTTTTTTTACTTCTAAGTATAGCTTCTCAAGTGGTGTAGGTTACGCTATGCGCCCTATACTACTCATAATGTGGACAGCATTCCAAAGTTTCATACTGCGACATAATAATAATAACAAAATAGAAGCTATCAATAGTCTTGCAGTCCCAGTTGTGCAATATAGCTTTGGCATCATTGACTGGAAAATCTCAGAACTGAAGAAGATTGACACAAAAACACGCAAAGTATTGAACATGCACAAGATGTTACATCCTAAAGCAGATGTGGAAAGGCTGTACATCCCAAGAAAAGATGGAGGTAGGGGCATGATTGATGTAGAAACAGCATTCAAAACTGCAACAATAGGGCTTGATCACTATCTGAAGCACAAGGAAGGGCAATATCCAAAGCAGGTGCTTGAACATGAAAGATCTAAAGCCAAAAATTCAATATCCAAGAATGCTACTAAATTCAAAAGCGAAGTAACAATGCCAGAGATTGAGAACAGAGAAGATAAATCTGCCTCTGAAAATGCTAAACCCCTGAAACGCGTGTTTAAGTCCAAGATGAAGTCAATGAAAGAAGAAAAGTGGAAAAGCAAAGCATTGCATGGCCAGTATCCAAAGATCCTAGAGAAGCCTCATGTAGACACAGTCACCACCAACAAATGGTTGTCAAGTAATTTGAGAGGCGAAACAGAGCGACTACTTGTAGCAGCTCAAGACCAGGCAATAAACCCAGAAACTACCAGAAAGTAATATGTGGCCAGCAAGTGGAGAGCAAATGCAGATTGTGTTCGCAACATTGTGAATGAGACAGTGGACCATATTGTATCCGGATGTGGCACAATAATGCTGCAGCATATCTCCATTGGAGCATATGTAAAGATCATGATATAGAGATTACAGACAACTGGGACGAACACGAACCGGAGACCGTGATACACAATAAAGATAACAACATCACCATCATGTGGGGCATGCCAGTCAATACTGATAGAACTATAACAGCGAGCAGACCAGATATCATCGTTAAAGATTCAGTGAATTCCACCTGCAACCTTATTGATATGACTGTTCCATCAGATAGAATCATCGCACTGAAGGAAACTGAAAAAAAAAATGCAAAGACCTAGAACTAGAATACAGAGAATGTGGCATATGAAAACCGTAGTGATCCCTGAGGTTGTTAGTGCGCTTGGTACAGTGAAGAAGGGTATGGTAGAAAACATCAAGAAAGTATCAGAGAGAGCTACTATGACAGAGATTCAAAAGATCTGCATGCTGGGATCTGCACGAATCCTCAGAAAGGTGCTCAGTGTATGAACAGAATGATTGACTTGAGTGACTGACGCTCTAGGTGCATGGTTTGCGCGCGGCTGATGCACAAAAAGAACACCAGCAAAGACTGTGATAATAGAGACAATAATAATAATAATAATAATAATAATAATAATAATAATAATTATTATTATTATTATAAACTGTAATTTATAATAATTATCATAAAAATTCTCCCAGAACCATTTGAGGCCATTTTTTTAAAAAGCTTTGTACCTTTGAGAATTTTATACATAAAAGAATGTCAGACTATTTGCAGGAAAGCAATATTCTACCTAATATTTTTTTCTTTCATGACCAAAAGATGGACATGACGTCATCAGTCACGTGATCGGAACGTTTTGAATATTTTAGTTCGTTTTTAAAGTACATTTTTCGTTATAATAATTTTTCTCTACCAATCTTAATACTGTATTGCCTCTAAGTAATTATAATTCCATTTTCAGCGCAGAAGCAAACGAAAACTGAGCCAGACTTTTAAAAGTTGCGTAAATTGACCGATATTGCAAGTTAACATCGAAAAAGAGACCTACTGTGAGATTTTTGAAGAATCCTTTTTCAACTACACTGTTTGTTTCCCGAAATAATAGTTCAATGTTTGTTAATAAAGGAGTACTTTAAAAGGCAAGAGGATTTATCTAGCGGTCATATTGTTTTTCTTCTTTCCGGGGAGGGAGGTCATGTAGTAGCTCTTCTAATGCTAAATACCAAATGGTTTGCTACCCTAACAGCAGCCGCGCGATCGATAGTTCATAAATTCCTCAAACGGCTTTGCATGGACTAAGTCTCTCCTTTTTGAACTTAACGTCTAGCTACGATCAGTTAAAGAGTTAATCCTACACAGAAACCGAAAAAGTCATTCTTCAAAACTGTCAATCATCATAGGGAAGTAAAGTATATCTCTTTTGAATACAAATCGCGGTCGAGTTTGTTCATTCTAGATGAAGAACGTTTATTTTAAAGACGGTTGTGGCAAATTACTCGGTATGGGTGAAAGTGATCATATATACTTCGTTAAGTGCGGTAGCGACCGTAGATTTCCTCACAACAAACAGAAATATCATAAAACTTTTCGAAACTCCAACTCTAAATTTTGCGTGTTTATTAAAAATCGTTGTCTCGTTTTGATAAAATAATAGAACTCGACAGAGATTAGTCGTATTGGCAATTTTTATCACTTGCTTGCCCCGTGATGTATTACGTGACATTGCTTTTATCCCATCAATCCCAAAGCGCGTGCAAAGATGGCGGGTATCGTGAATAAGGTCTATTCTACCTAGCTGGTGGGAAACGGTTTGAATTAAGATGGCCACCATCATAGAGAGCGCTCGATCTGGACAATCGTAAGGAAACAACTACCCGTAGCAGTAACATTACTTAAAAAAATACAAGCTAATATATATTATTCACATTTCAATAAAAATCTCATAACTTTGGATTTAAAAATGCAGACATTTGAAGCAGAGCGGATCTCATAAGGCAGAATGTTCCATTTATCCACTATCTTATAAAAGAAACTGTTTTTGAGTGCATATGTCCTCGCAAATCTGTTCTTTAATGATCTATAATCAAAGGGTCGAAACGAGTAGCGATCCTCTTGACAATAAAAATCCAAAAATTGAGAAAAATCCACATCCATATAGCCATTGAGGGCCTTAAACAAAAAAGTGACATCAAATAAGAAACGTCTCTGTTCAAGGGTTAACAAACAACTTGAGCTCTCTTAAACGAATATCGTATTGATCATTGGATTTTAGAATAAACTTGGTTGCCCTACGTTGAATTCTTTCAAGATTTTCTATGTTTCTCTTTGTGAAAGGAGACCAGACAACCGAACAGTATTCCAAATTAGATCTGACGAGGGAACAAAACAAGGTCTTTAAAGTGGCTGTATCCTTGAGATCCTTGCACGTTCTTTTAATTAGGCCCAGCATTGTTTCCCTTAGCAGTAATCATGTCAGTATAAGAGTTCCAGGATAAACTTCAATCAGTCAATATTCCGAGATCCTTAAATTCTTTAACCTCCTCAAGAACGGTATCATTCATATGCACACTGTTAGTAAAGGGTACTTGTTTCCTAGTGATTCTCATGATCTTACACTTTTTAGTGTTGAAGTCCATCTGATTACGTTGACTCCATTGATGGAGTTTGTCTAGGTCCTCTTGGAAGTAAATCAGATCTTCATCACAGTCAATTACTCTAAACATCTTACTATCGTCTGCATACAGTGCAATGGTATTATCAGAACAGACTACATCTGGTAAATCATTGATGAAGATTACAAAAAACAGTGGCCCAAGGATAGAACCTTGTGGTACACCGGAACTAATTTCCGACAAAGAGGAAGAATAACCATCTATGACTACTCTCTGAGTTCGGTTACTAAGGTAGTCTTTACACCAGTTCAGCAAATTCCCAGATATTCCAAGATTACCAAGCTTGTGCAGCAAGACATTATGGGGAACACGATCGAAAGCTAACAAAGGCTACGTCAACTTAGCGTCCCTCATCAAGTGTTTTCGCCCACTTATGATGAGTCAAAATTAGTTGTGTAGCAGTAGATTTCCCTTTAACAAATGCATGCTGCCAATCAGATAGATAAGCAGAGACATGGGAATAAATTGCAGTATGAACTATACGCTCCTGACACTTTCCTGGAATAGACAGAAGTGAAATAGATCTGTAATTTTCCACAAGGTCTCTTTCATTTGCTTTGAAGATCGGTGTAATGTTAGCAAGTTTCCATTGCTCAGGGACTCTCCTTAGACTAAAGGATCTGTTCAACAAAAGGGCTAAAGGTGTAGACAATTCTTCAGAACAAGCTTTGAGAATACGAGCAGGGACATTATCTGCACCAGTTACCTTGGTGATGTCAAGATTTTGTAAAATTCAGTACACTGTATCGACTAAAACATACCTGATGATATGCCATTCTTCAAAACCGCAAACTTGATTTTCACCCTGCTTTGAGCGTTTTCTAAATACACTTGAACTGAGATGTTACCGGACGAACCAAACTGTACATCCAACAAATTCTCTGTAGCGAAAGGCACGCACCCTCGTTGATGCAAAACCTCGGTACCTACTCCATCAGTGATTTTCACATATTCCCTGTGTGATAAAAACAAAATATGACAATTAATAACAGCTAAAATATCTGAATGGCAATGAAAATGACAATAATACATAGTAATGACAATACACAGTGATCATTGGTAATGATAAAAAGCGGTTTAGAAAAGTTAATCAGTGTAACGTCAGGAAACATCAGCTTCCAGGAAGTTTAAAAGACAACGTTGCTGGGAATGACACATCGGAAGGTCCTTTCAATCAAGTGCTAGCGTTTTGATAGACAATACATGTGCAGCAAAAATATCTTTACTTCACACTTCTAGGGATATTACTTTTCTTTTCAAGCAAGGTTATCATCAGCTGTTCAGATTCACAAAGAGGGTAAAAAGGAAAAAAAAATTATTTGTAGACAATCGAAAAGTACAGCAGAGCTGATGTGGTCGTGTTAAAACTAAAAGTATTATGAAAATCGTTATCAAAAGTAATCAATAATACTATGTACAATAAAATTCAAGGCCTAAAAATATTTAATTAAAAAAGCTGACTTTTCAGTGTCCTTTTAAAAGAGTCAAAACTTGGTAATTCTTCTGTGTGAGTCTCCAGAGAGTTCCATGCTTTGCAGCAGCTGGACTTACGAAGTAGTATTGTCTTAGGGAAAGGTATATCAGACGTAATCTTTCTTCGTAAATTATAACTGCAGTCGTACTTTTTAAAAAAATCTGGATAGTTTCGGGAGCAGGTTGGTAAAAACAACTTATGGGCCAGTAATAACAACTTATGATCATATAGATTATTGAATGAAAACCAGTTCGCATGATGTAGCTATTCTAGCACCTTGTCGCTTGACGTGTACCCGAATTTAAACCAAAGATAATCTTAGCAGCCCGAACATGGATTTTTTCCAGGTCCCCAAATAGGGTTTTTCCGCAAGAATCCCACACAACTAAAGCTTGATTAAAACGATCAGGAAATAAAAAGCAATTCCGGCTGACTTTGGCAGGTAAAAACAAAACAAAACAAAACAAAAATGTGACTTATTCTTATTCATTTCGTTAGTTACAAGATTTTACTACGTCATTAAGTTTACCTGCACGAGACGAGATATGATTCTCGTACAGAGAGCAAAGCCACGGCCTGGGATATACTGGAACTTAGTATGGTCCACTGACATATTTCATAGTAGCTGTTTGTGCCATTAACCTCAATATCACCAAACGTACTATTTATGGTCCTGGAACAACCTTAGAAAGGAAAATTTCAAGGAAGAACGTTTAATGATGTTGATGATGATGATGATGATGATGATGATGATTATTATTATTATCATTATTATTGTTGTTGTTGTTGTTAGTGGTAGTAGCTGCAGCAGCAGCAGTAGCAGTGGCAGTGGCATTGGCATTTGCAGTGGCAGTGGCAGGGGCAGTGGCAGGGGCAGGGGCAGTGGCAGTGGCAGTGGCAGTGGTAGTGGTAGTGGTAGTGGTAGTGGTAGTGGTAGTGGTAGTGGTAGTGGTAGTGGTAGTGGTAGTGGTAGTGGTAGTGGTAGTGGTAGTGGTAGTGGTAGTGGTAGTGGTAGTGGTAGTGGTAGTGGTAGTGGTAGTGGTAGTGGTAGTGGTAGTGGTAGTGGTAGTGGTAGTGGTAGTGGTAGTGGTAGTGGTAGTGGTAGTAGTAGTAGTAGTAGTAGTAGTAGTAGTAGTAGTAGTAGTAGTAGTAGTTGTAATGGTAATAGGACTGAGTGGAGTCCAATTCGGGCTGTAATCAGACGACCGCGTGGCGGGAGTCTGATTTGTTTCATAACGAGTATGTTTACCGACACGAATTGGAGGACACAAAGCCATTTAATTTCGCGCATTTAATAAGGCATGACGCGTACTGCCCTATTACATTGTCCTATTAGTGCTGAAGTCAGGCCAATTGATAGCCAGTTAGCCTGTGCTGCAAACCGTCTAAATACCTGACTATATACCTCTTACGCATGTGTGTGCCGACCTTAAAATCTCAAAAGAAAGCAATGTTCTAATCCAAGAAACAGTAATGTTATAATGTTTTAAGAATTTATTCGACTCACTGTTAGCCAACGTAAACGCACGGCTAGATTCCGTCATCGGCCAAGTCGCAGAAATCAAAGCTAGACTAGATATTTACGAGAAAGACACTAGCGACTTGAAGGTGAGCCTCGAGTTCTCCCAGAAAGATATCAAGGACTTGAAACCATGCTCATCCCGACTGCATGAGGTCGAAGAAGAGATTGAAAAGATGTGCGGTTCCCTCGATTACCACACTGATAAGATCGAATATCTGGAGAACCAAAGTAGAAGGAGTAATATTCGAATAGACGGCATTCGAGAGGAAGAAGCAGAAACTTGGGACAACACCGAAACCAAAGCAAAGGAGATACTCAAAGAGAAGCTTAACCTCGATGAAGAACCGGATATCGAGCGGGCTCATCGAGTCGGCAGAAGAGCAAATGCTACAACTGGCTCCGTAAGACGTCCAAGGACCATCGTCTGTCGCCTCCGCGATTGGAAGCAAAAAGAACTGATCATCAGAAGTGCGAGGAGAATCAAGCCCCCTGGAATTTTTGTTAATGAAGACCTGGCACAAGAAACCCTTGACAAGAGGGAAGAGCAGCGTCCTAAGTTTGAAGAAGCGAGAAGAAATGGGAAAATAGCCTATTTCGTTTTAGACAGGCTGGTTATTAAAGACAGAATTGAGCGTCCCAGTTAAGTAGCTGTGTAGTTTTGTGCTTTAGCTTTCTATAATTTTTATAGTACGTATTTATGTGTTTATTATTTATTAGCCATGGCTTCGATTCCTGATCACACTTTACCTTTTAATGCTTTAGACGATTATAGTTTTAACCTTGCAATTTACGAACTTCAACATGGCCCGGTCCGTTATGATCCTGACAGACTTTCCAGCCTAAATTACCATCCTTTATTTTCAAGTCACAATCTTTCCCTAACTCGTTCTGACGATATAGATCCTGATGTTAATTTCTGCACAGTCGACGTCCACTGTGATTACTACATTGAAGACAAATTTAACGAAATGTTGAGAAATGATAATTTATGTGATGAAGATTTTTCGCTCCTACACCTAAATATTCGTAGTCTTCAACGTAATCTAAACAGCCTTTCTATTCTTTTGACATGCTTGAATATTAGGTTCTCTTTAATTGGCGTTTCTGAGACTTGGCTAAATGATTATTCCCATTCAGTAGACATAGATGGTTTCAATTTTATTCACAAACATCGCCCAAATAGAACTGGTGGTGGTGTTGGCTTATATATTTCTGACAATCTCGATTTTAAACACAATGATCTGTTAGCGAAAATCTCTAGAGAGAACAAAATATGTTTTATTATGGGTGATTTCAATTTGAATTTAATTAACTTTCAACATCACCAAAACACTGGCGAATTCCTTGATGGATTGCACTCGTATATGTTTTTTCCCATGATAACACGTCCCACCCGAATAACTTCTCACACCGCAACATCACTAGATAACATTTTCGCAAACACATTTTTTGATCACTCGAGAAGTGGTTTATTGATTACTGATATCTCTGATCACTTACCTGTTTTTTCGATTCATTCAAATAATGACTCTTCCAACAGCCACGCTCATGACCCAGTGGTCATTCGAGACAATAATAAAGAAAACTTAGCGAGTTTTCTCGAAACGCTAAAAGAAATTATCTGGTCCTCCCTTGATGGTTATCATGAACACAAAAACGCGTATAATAGCTTTATAAAGAAGTATTCTGAAAGTTATAATGTGTGCTTCCCTGTAAAAAAATTAACTAGAAAACAGTCTCGTTTAAATAAGCCGTGGCTATCCAATGCGCTTATTAAGTGTATTAAGAAGAAAAATAGGCTTTATAAAAAATATCTGCGAAATCCAACAATGGATCGTCAATCAGTTTACAAAAGTTATAAAAACAAATTAAATCATTCTCTGCGGACAGCAAAACGTCTATACTATGAGAAGAAATTGAATAACGTTCAATCTAATACTCGTGCTACTTGGAAAGTTTTAAATGAAATTCTAAACAGAAGCAAAAGAAATTCCAATAGATGCTCAACATTTAAAGCTGATGATCGTGAAGTTACTGATCCTGTCGAAATTGCCAACAAGTTTTGTAGTTATTTTTCAAGCATCGGTCCTAATTTAGCAAGGGGTATACAGTCGTCAGCTTCACACCGTTGTTTTCTTAATGGTTCCTTTACACAGTCAATATTCTTCAACCCTACAACTCAAGATGAGATCACTGAGATTGCGAAAACTTTTCTTCCAGGCAAAGCAGCTGGCTACGACCAGATTCCAATGACAGTCATTAAGGAGTCCATTCTACTTGTTTCTGAACCACTCACCCATATCATAAACTTGTCAATCCAGCATGGTATTGTTCCCGATGAAATGAAAATCGCTCGCGTGATACCTATTTTTAAATCTGATGATCAGTCGCTTTTCACCAACTACCGACCTATCTCGGTGCTTCCCAGTTTTTCAAAATTCTTTGAAAGAGTTATCTACAATCGTTTAATGCAATATCTGATGAACTTCAACATCCTCTGTAGTAACCAATACGGCTTCAGGAAAAATCATTCCACTGCACTCGCGCTAATCGACTTGCATGATAAGATCTCTACTGCCTTTGACCGAGGTGAATTTTCCGTAGGTATTTTTCTTGACCTCTCAAAAGCCTTTGACACTGTAAATCATATCATCCTTTTTGATAAACTCGAACATTACGGTATTCGTGGCTTAGCGCTGGACTGGATAAGAAGTTACTTTTCAAACAGAAAGCAATATGTTGAATATAATGGCCACCGTTTGTTAAGAAATGAAATCTCATTTTTCTTACTGTACATTAACGACATCAACAATGCTTCTAATCTATTAAATCTGATATTGTTCGCTGACGATACCAATGTATTCATGTCACATAAAGATCTGAACTATCTCTCAGATATGTTAAACTTGGAGATGGACAAACTGTCAATCTGGTTTAAAGCAAACAAGCTTTCTCTAAATCTTAAAAAGACTAAATTTATGGTCTTCAAACCAAGACAAAAGCGTTCAATTTGTAATATTCAAATAAGTATAGATAATCAAAATATTGCTAAAGTAAAGGAGACAAATTTTCTAGGCGTAATTTTGGATGAAAACCTAAATTGGAAGTCGGAAATATCTCACGTTGCAAGTAAAGTTGCGAAGTCAATCGGTATAATATCTAGATGCAGCTTCTTTCTTCCTAAATCGTCTTTACGTATGCTCTACTATTCCTTAATTTATCCTTATTTTTACTACTGCAATATCGTTTGGGCTTCGACCTATAAAACTAATCTCCGCCGCCTTGTTATCCTGCAAAAGCGCATTATTAGAATTATTAATAAATCACATTTTAATGCTCATACTGACCCCATCTTTAAGGACCTCGGTATACTAAAATTTAATGATATCCATGTGCTTCAACTGGGCCAACTTATGTATTCTTGCAAAAATTCATTCTTACCTCCAAAGTTTAATAACAATTTCTCTCAAAGCAATCAATTCCACTCTTACAATACAAGAAATTCCCAGGCCTACCGTCTACCGTATTGTCGTACAAACACGAAGAAGTTCTCGCCCTTTTTTCAAGGGCCTAAGTTTTTTAATTCACTTGACAACAAGATCATCAACTCTCAATCCCTCTCCTCTTTTAAGAAAAAACTGAAGATTAGATTATTGAGTAAGTATGAAAACAGTTTATAAATCTTTCCATCTTCGACTTTTCGCCTTCTTCTCTTCAATTGATGTGAAACAGCTCTAGCTCATAGTTCGAGGAGGCATAACCTCTCATAAGCTCCTATAGTTTCTGTTAGGTCTCCTCGCCAATTCTTTTTTTTCTTCTTCTTCTTCTTTTCCTATATTTTTTGTAATTAGTGTGGCAAATAAAATAAATAAATAAATAAAATAAAAAAGGTTCCTCATTCTTTTCTGAGAGCTTCTCGGCTAGGCGTTTGAGGAAGCAGTTGCAGTCGGCTCCCATCCCGCCGTTGGTTGCAAAAACTAGGCGAGTGAAAGATCCCATTTCAACATCCAGCACCCTCTGTTGGTACTTCCGCTTTTTCTCCTCCTCCTGAGGAGTGGCAAGTCCGGCTACCACGCAGGCTGATAGCCAGTCAGCTTTGAGAAATTTGTTATAGATATGATTATGATCATTATTATCACAGTATTATCGTTATCATTATTATTGTCATTATCATTTTCACTGCCATTATAAAATTATTATCATAATTATTACAATATCATTATCATTATCATTATTATTAGGATTATTATTATTATTATTATTATTATTATTATTAATATTATTATTATTATATTTTTAAAAGTTGAATAAGGTATCTATCATTTATTATTGATTAAAAATTATAATTATTATCATAATAACTATTATATTATTATCTGTTACTTCTATTACTGATTAAACATTTTATAAATTTATTTATTTACTTATTTATTTATTTAAGGAGAATGTCGCTTAGAGATAGGAAAGTGGAGTATTCTAGCTTGTCTTACAAAGAAAGCATGCTTAGCACTCTTACCTCCAGATCCTTGTCCATAACATACTACTGAGGCATCTTCATGGTGACCGCAGTTCTCGATGCCCCATCCTCTGTGCCCACAATAGAGAATTGAAGTTTCGTTGCCTTGACAATTCACATCATCCAGCCAAATTGGACCACTTCCAGCCCCGAATCGGGCAGACCCTGGAGCACTAATAGCGCCAGGATACCCGAGCTGACGGCAAATGACATGTGCATCATTTATATCCCAGGAGTCATCACAAACTGTTCCCCAGGCGTTATTATGAAATACTTCAACTCTTCCTTCCGAGCTCCTGGATCCTCCGACCAATCTTAAAGCTGAAATAATTTTCAATAAAATGTTCTCTTGTAACTTTTGACTCTTATACTACCTTAAACCCTTATATAAACATCACATTGCTAGGGTCAACTATACTTAGCATATGCCTTGGTTTCTAGGGCTATACTTAGTATTTTCACGTGACAATAGCAATAAGGTCAAGGATCTAAATACACACATAATTATATTTCATTGCTCATAGAAAAGATAATTCACTTTGTCTTGTAAATATGACTTCTTAAAACCTTGATTCCATGAATGTTACTCATTTGGTACTGTACATATGTTCCAAGATAAAGACGGAATTGTAAATTAATTCCCACCGCATTTTATTAACTAGCAATTAATGAATTTGGCTTTCGTAGGATATGCAGAATTAAGCAGATCGAAGAGGGACAGACTCCAAAACTCTATATTACTGCAGTTTAAAGAGCAAATCAGAGCAAATCTATGCCTTTCTTTTCTACAATTCATTTCAACATAAGAAGCCTTTGTGCTGACCATGATGGTTTGACAATGATGCTATCAGGTCTACAGCATTCATTCGATGTTATTGGCCTTTCCGAAACAAAGATAAAAAGTAACTGCGATCAAACTAACTAGTTTCGCTTTTTAGTCCTACTACTATATGTACTGTTTATTTGTTTATTCATTTATTTATTTATTTATAATTATTTTCTTGTAAATTCTCCTAGTTGTCTACAGTAGTAGAAAATAAACTGTTGTACTCTAAAATTAAAATGCAGTCCTTCTAAAGGCTAAAGGAAATGTGCATGCTTCAACAACAGCCATAATAACTGCCACAGAATACACAAACAGGATATTTCTATAACTAAACATGTTCAGATTTTTTGTGGATCTTTGCAGCCATTGGAATGCACACCATGAATATTATTATTTTGCATCTTTGGGGATTATTATGCATCAGGGATACAAGATGCAGAGGTTAACAAGGTCACTGCATATTTTTTGTATGGACAAGGGATTATTAGAAGATTTTGTTTTAAAATGTAATCAATGAACATACTGGATGTCATTTATAGCTTGTGGTTGTCGCTTCTCCAGAAGCTACACTGTATATAGCTGATTAAGTAAAGGTTGGCTATTGGGCATTTGGGCATACCAAACAATTAATGCAATGATTTCCCTGAGTGACCACCAAACAATAGCTTACTATTGCTCAATTCCCAATGCCCAAAGCAACCCTTATTGAAACAGCTGTACATGTAAGCAGTGTATGTATAAGGTCCTGATTGTTTACATGTAACAAACTAAATGTCAAAATATCATGTTCCTGAAACTTTTTAGGAATTCCCAAGCAGAAAAATAACCATTTTAGGCAACCATTTTGGGTCAATATAATAAGTTAAATGTCTATAATATATAATTTCATTATTGAATTTTACTTGCCAACTATACATACATTCATTCTCGCAAGACCAACATGTAACACAATAATATTTGATTCCACTAAAATCATCATGAAGCTTGCAAGGCCTGAGCCAGAGCATTCACTATTGGTTTTCTGGTTGGTATTGCTATGTGTGAGCGAAAGAGGACGGACACAAAGCTTAATTAACGTGACACATTTGGCGTGAGAGCAAGAATGTAATCTGATCAATTAACTGTAAAGGAAAAGAGTCATTTCGATACGAACTTAAGCAGTGAAACTGCAAAAATTTTGCGATTACCTGATGTATAGTTATTGCACGTGAACAAGAAAAACAAATGTCGCGAAATGTTGGTTGTACACCTCGACTGAATCCATTTGTATCAGAACGAGATGTATCGCCTCGTGTATCGAAATTACTTTGTATCAAAACTATCGGTAAGCAAACACAGCAAAATGGCTCCTGGTAATAAATTAATTGACAGCGCTCTTCGAAAGGCCCTATATCCAACTGTCCTTTTCATAACGCGTATGCCTAGACGTTCCAATAACAGATTATTCTAAAATAAGGAACAATCGTACTCACATTTATTCGCATTGCGAAGACTCAAACAGTACGTGTGTCCACTAGTTGAACTTAGATCCGTTCTTTAAAACTAAAAGCCAGTCGCTGACAATTCGGAGACATTTTGATTCGTGATTAAAACAAAATCTGCGCGTCTGGACAGTCCACAGAGTTGACAAATACTCTTTTTGCGCAGTAAAGAGCAACGCAACGCAAGTTGCAACCATCAGCAGCCGTCCGCCATAATTTTAAAATACATAGCTGCTTTGCTTCTTAGCACGTGGTTTTACCACGTAACTCTATTCCGCGGGAAGTCCCCGGGCGCGTGCTAAGTTGAGCTAATTATTCATCCAGCATGATTTATAAACGCAAGATAACGATCTGGAGGAATTAATTGAGCGTTTGGTTCTTCATGCAACACGAGAGGTGAGCGTTTATTTATACTAATAATAGTTGACACTACAGCTGCCCCCGCTTTGCATATAGTATTCTTGCTTCTTGTGTAGCTCTTTAAAATATACCGATTCATAATGAAGTTCCATACAATAGGTGAGATAAATACAGGAAATAAATGCAAGGTTCATGCCCAGTTTCGGTACGATTTACACAGCTTTGATCAAAACATTCTCAGTTTCGAGAATAGTTTATTGGAAACCGTAAGAAAAGATTTAATTGGAAGTTTAATTTTTCGCTATTTCTATTTCACTTTACATTTATTTCATTTCATTTGCCGGAAAGTAAGCCTTAGAAATTAAAAGGACGTTTGATCAATTCACGCTCGCGTATTCTAGTCTTATTTTAAAGTTTATAGCGGAAGGACATCTGTGAGCAGGGAATAAGTCAGCACAGAATTTGATGGTCGGCGAATTTCTGTAATCGTCCATCTTTCTGCTAGTGATAAGTGATAAGTCTTGCTTGTTTTGGGCCGAGTCTTACTCCGATCAAAGAGAGAGAATTAAAGAGTGTCTGGCAAGGTTCAGCTGAAGGTTTCCAATCGAAGATTTGTGAACTCGTGTCTGGCAACCTCACTTAGTGTTAAAATATACACTGTTCTACGCACGTTATGACATCATCTGCGCATAACGAGTGCCTTTTGGTCCATAACTTTCATAACAAATGCTCCACAGAATGTCACTGATATCACGTACGCTAAAGAGTATCGAAGTATGACTGCACAATTAATGACAAAAAATCACAAAATGTCACAAAATCTACCTATTGCAAGCTGTTCCTTCGGGATTTTTTGTGTTTTACGTCATCCTAACCATTTCGTACTTGCGGACGCAAACAATAGAAACGTCATCATTACCTACCGATTCCTCGAGGCCCCTGTTCAAGCAAATCGAGATTTTTTCTATATTGACTGTATGACTGTATATTTCAATTGTAAGTACTTTCCTTAATATACGTGCGAGTTACTAGAGTGCCTCCTCGGGATCTTGCCTTCTGGGTGAAATCCCTGCGGGGGCAATAATTTTGTTCAGGGCTTATTCTATCTTTGTTCACCGTAACTGCGGTTCTGTGTCAAAATCGATTAGATTACTATTTAGATTACACTGCATGTTAATGTTACGTTATGGTTGATGCGAATTTTAGAAGTTTCAAAACTTATTAACTGATCAATGATTGATTTAAAATCTGGCTGTGTAGAGATATACACAGAGAGACACGATGAATTATGATTGGGGATCGGTAGATCTTTCACACTGTCGCACACTGTGACAACGCGCGTTTTAATTATCAAACCGGTCGATGGGCTCGAAATGCATGCACGTTTCGATGCTTTATTTGACTGATGACGTTTAAGGCTGACTGTTCGTTTTTGTTGGGAGATACATTAGCTCCCAACTGTATGGCAGTTCAATGTCTTGTTTTCTAGTGGACTTACTGGTTACTTATTAAGTACGCGCATGATTAGAAATCGGATGTGTCCAGAATTGAGAATTCTCATCAATGTTCTTTTGGATTGACGACGAAACACTTCTGTCGAGATGGCTCATCTATATGAATAGTGCCTTTGTAGAATGGGCTGTGTCTAGACGACGTGTTCTTTAAGGGACCAGTGATAATTTAAGTTGGAGAGGAGGGTGGAGGAGAAATTGGGGGCCTTAAAATGCCAAAGGATGACCTTAGGGGGGGTCTTCAAGTTTCTTTTAAGTAGCATCTCTACTAAGCAGAATGATGCTTGAGTATTAAAGGACCTGATTTTGACACAGTTTTACACAAAGTCCTATATTGTGTAATACTAAAACAATTTCATCAGCATTTTGACAAATGATTACATGCATAAAGTCATGTTATGCAATCTCACTATCCGAATCATTATTTGTAGATGAGGTTGATGTTAACTCACTGTATGTGTCACTGTCAAGTTTTTTGCTATTAGAGCATGTACTGCTCATATAAAAAGCAGTAAGCTTTGGCTGATTATCTTCTTTCTTCCTTGAAGCGGTCCTGTCGGCCTCTAACCTTTCGATGGCTTGTCCTATCTCAATTATAACACAATCACTGATATATCCTTGCTCTATAAGCTGTTCGAGAGGCTCTCAGAGGCAAACCGACAAAAGCAAACGAGACCTAAAAACATACAATGAGTATGACTGGCTAGGCATGTCTCTAAAAGGAACATTGCAACAACTAACTGTCAAAGAACGTGAGAAATATCTAACTCCCCATGGACTTAGCCTCCCACGCAGGCATTTTTAGGGGAGCTCGTATTTCTTCCCTCCCCACAAACGCCTGCTCAACAGAGGACAACATTCCTTTCCCATTGTTGCATTCGCGTGGTAAGTGACCAATCAATGGTTTTTAAATAAAGTGTTGACAGGCTAAACATGACTCATAAGCTCGTGATAGTGAAAAAACGTGACCCAGAACGTGACCCTAGAGTTACCTTTTTCCTTCTTTTCTTTCGTTCGCTAAGGTTATGCAGTGCAAAGAGAATTCTAAAATCTGACTGAGTAAATCTTACTTTTGCCGCTCTGAGACTAACATTTATTAGAAGTCATGAAGGTTTCTTAAAGTTTCATGCAGATCGCGTGATTATCGGGTTACCCTGCGGTC